AAATTCAAAATAGTTTAATTCTCTATGATAAGTTACTTTTGGCCAGATAATAAACACTACAGTTTTAGCCAGAAACTTGATTGCACATAATTTTTTAATCTCCTTGGCTTATGCTGTAACTGGAAGTTCCATGTAATTTTTTTTTAAATTATAATTCCACAACTAATCTAAATTTATTCGGTACTCCAACGAGACATGAAAATGCTCTTTCGTGGTTGCAGACTCGACTGAAAAACTTTTTATTTCTATATTGCCATGGCATAGCCTGGCACAGTGTAGTTATCAACAAGTTGTTTTTTTTTAAAATATATTTTGTTGATTAATTTTTGTCTCGTCAAAGAAAATAATCCATAATTTTGCACATGCCTGATGGTCCCTTCCCTACACCTCTCTTGCTTTGAAACCATTATCACACTTATTAACACTTGTGCCACTGTGCTGACTTGGTTAAAATTTGTTAAGATTATCATAACAATTTTTAGAATTACTCCTATACTTTGCCTTCAAAAGTCAAAACGTAAAAGATTTCGTGATGATGTCGCTAATTTTTTATTAACCCCTCAATCTTTAAACCATAAATTTTGACCCTAAAATATATACTTACATGTTCGTCTTTCGGTTATCCACAGGCGCTTAAGTTGTCGAAAATAATCTTGTCTGTTCGTAGCAATTAGCCAAATTCCTAAATTATACCTTTAGGTTATCTTAAAAATCTTAAGATTAGCTTATGTCGGTTGAAACTGAATATGCGTCCACAACAAAACTAGGATAAGAAATGTATTTAGGCTATATAACGAGTCTATAAAAGTCAACTAGTTATAAATTAATGCTATAATATTATATAAAATTTATAATACTTTTTACATACAGACGTATGTAAACAGATCACAAAATTACCCTTGAAGTACACGCCTAACTTTCTTTGTTGGCTGTAATAATGTTTTATTTCGAAATAGCATAATATTATTATAAATAGTCATACCAAAAGATAGGCAACAATTAAGGTGATAAATAAATTGATAATCAATTTTTATTGCATTTCATTAGGTGCAACATAGAACTCGAGTTTACTATATAATGAGCTAAATTATGCTTTCATTATTGTATTCGTTTATACGCATTTGAACTCGTTGGAGTTCGTTGTGGATAGGTATTTTAATACTAAGTTATTGCGTGAAATTTTACAGCAGATAATATGGCACTCACCACAAGCAATTTAGGAGAGCTAAGTTTAGCCATTCATGACTTTTCTATGTCTTTATATTCAGTAAGTAATTTTTGTTTTTCCTTACCAATGACCACGTAAATCTGGATAGTTAAACATACTTACTTAAGTAATTTATTTATTACCGTAACGTAAATTTATTCAGTTTGTTAACATTTTTTTTTAAATTAAATATTTTGTAATAGCTTTAATATGTGTCATGTGTATGTCCATTAGGAAATATTAAATAACCATATCCTGATCCACGGTATGTTGGTATATTATGTACTTACCTAGTATCCAATTTTAATTTGCAGACATTTCATCAACAGGATGGTAATATATTCTACTCGCCATTTAGTATTCATTTGATAATGTTTATGGCTAGTATTGGAGCGGTTGAAAAACATTTGATGAAATTATAAATACATTACATTTGACCAAAAACAACCATACGTTGGATTCCTACAAAGAACTATTAGACATTTTAAATGTAAATATATCTATGCTGAGTTGCGCAAAATTTTTATCGTTTACTCTCATTAAAATTCCTTAATTAGTGTTTATAGAACCGATAAAGCTTTATGCAATGAATAATTAGTTGAATAAAATAAAGTTATAATTATAAATTTATATGAAAACACAAATGCGTCATTAAATGGTATTCTACGACGTTAAAGTATAAATTATCATGAATTTATTAGTTAGATGTATTAATAATATCTTGCTATTTTAGAAAACCGACGTGCTAAAAACAGCTAATGGAATGTTTGTTGAAAGCACATTTGAGATAAAGCAAAACTTCTTGGAAAAAACAAATAAATACTTAAAAACCTCTATGGATAAATTGGATTTTAAAGGTAGTCCAGAAGTTCAACGTGCATATCTCAATGTTTGGGTTGACAACAGAACTAATGGAAAAATCAAGGACTTGTTCCCTCCAAGTAGTTAGTTTATTTTGAGATATATTTTAAGATGATGTTAGTGATGGGGCCATAAGGAAATAGTCACATTTACATAATAAAACTAACGGCTCCTAAATTTTAGTTCCTTTAGAAGCGTAATGTTGTTTAACATATAATTGGTCGAGGGTACAGGTTTAGTTGACTGGGGATTTAAATGATCGTTTAACTTGATGTACAGTCCTAAAAATTTAGATTTCCACCAATAATGAAGATTTATTTAACTAATTACAATTAATTTACAGACTTAAACAAAGGTCGTGTTATAATTATTACGGGTTATAATTGTTAGGCTCTATTCAATCAAACACAGCTCTAGTATTGGCAAATGCAGTGCATTTTAAAAATGGCTGGATAAACGAATTCTATAGAACACAAGATGAACCGTTCTATTTGACTCTTGAAAATAAGGTGATCGTTAAGATGATGACGCTTTATGAAAGTTTAAATTACTATCACGATGACGCATTAAAATATGCTGCAGTAGAGTAGTACCATACACAGTAAATAGTAATAATCCTATATTATTACAATTCAATTCACTGAACTGGTTATAATTTAGTTTCATTTGTTTAGAATGATTTTTTCGAAATGATCGTTTTGCTACCCGATGCTAAAGATGGTCTGGAAAGTCTAGAAAATACTTTAATTAATATTAAATTAACTGAACTATCTCAGAAAATGATTACCTATGATGTTTTTGTTAAGTTGCCAAAATTCAAAATTGAACAAACATTCAAGAAGTATTAGTCGAAGTAAGATTGTTAAAATTATATTACTTCTTAGAATATACACTTTCAGTGCATATACAATGCTATTTATACAGGTTCGCTAAAAACTGGTTGATCTGTTGATGACACATAGTTTTTTTACCGACCGTTTGTACATTGCGATTTCAAACGAGAGCCGACATTAATCTGCATGCACGCAGCACGAGTATTCGGTTGGGATTTCCTAGCCCAACTGTATAAGATAATATTATATTTGTTGAACATTAATACCGATCTGTCCTATCCATTTCACAAATGTTATTCAACATTCCCACATAAGTGTCTTGTGTTGAAATTACTGACAACTATATAGTTGTAGTTAGTTCAGACCGGTCTTTATGATTTTCGACACATACCTGTGTGTCTGTTGATTCACAGAATAGGTATTACCAGTAATCAATCACCACTCGTCAGTATAATAGTATGGGATTATCCAGCATTCATTTCACTATAGGATCCACTATTCTCAGTAAATAATTTGCAACAATATAGTTACAAAACGGTCAAGTCATAAGTGAATCAATCATTTAAGAAACATTAAGTCACAAAATCTACATTTTACAGGACAAGGAAAAAACTTTTGCCGCCACTTAGGGAAAGTGTTTGAAAACACATAATTTCTTTTTAGGACCCTAAATCAAAGTAGTTTACTTGATAGACAATTTTTTTATTTTATTCCATTTGCAAAATTTTGAAGATTTAGTGCGTTTCTCTTTTGAACGGCAAATCAAAATCCATATTTAGAATGGAAGAATACTCTGCGTCAAAAGGTGTTTCTCCATATAATGTGTGTCTACACGTCTTGTAGAATTAAAAAAATATATATTTTGGATAAAATATTGACCATGGGATTTTCAAATGACAGTCTTCCAATATTTTTATATGTTTCCACTCTGTACCAAAACACAAAGGTCAGCAGTCACGTTTTGTTGGGTACCAATGTCCTAGTATTTGGTTAAATACCAACAGTAAAAAAAAGTTAATGAATAGATCAAGATATAAATAATTTAGTCATCAAATGTTTTTTTTATTGTACAATAAAAAAAAAAAAAAAATGGACAATATTGAAAAAAATACAACTGTTAGTTTTTTACTATGAGAATCAGACCAATCATAAAGGCAAGTACAGGATTAGTTAAACAAACATTATACACACACATATAAATATATATATATTCATACTTTTTGTTTTTATTTTATAGAATTGATCGTCTAACGAAATAGTTATTGCTAATAGTTTCTAGTAAGCAACACCACAACAGCTAAAAAAAGTTTTTACTATAAAAAAAAAAAAAAAAATACACACTTTACAAACACACAATACGTTAAAAATACATCGTTAATAATAAACATTAATAATGCTAACAAATTATAAATATCTCATGAGATCACATGCATTTTTGAAAAACACTTAACTAATAAAATATTGAATAAAAAGTCATTGATTTTTTTTTATTACATACATTTGAGGAGATGTAATTTGTTTGGTTAACCCAACCAATACTAAAGTTAATTTCCATTATACTTACACGTAATATTTAATACCATATAATTTAAATTAAAAAAAAATTATGTCAAGTGAAACAAAATGGTTAAGTACACACACACACACGCACACACATATATATATATATATACAAAATAAGTTGTTGCTTATCAAGTAATTAGAATAATTTAATTATGCTACTTTCATAAATAACTTATTATCTAAAAACAAAGGTATTTTATGACCAATACAAAAATGGCTTTGACTAATTACCAACACTAATGGGACGAATAATAAACAGGAACAATATTATACTTTAAAATTTCAGAGATAATAGTTTAATATTAAATACAAAAGAAATAAGTGTCGAAATTGAATTTAACTATTGTACTTAATAAAAAATATGAATTATGCTTTAGAACTTTGTATGAAATATGTAATATTTCATTCAATATTGATATTTGATAAACTAAGTGAACAAAATATATGGCAATATTAAATAACAAACAGAACAAATGAAAGTGGTAAAAAGATTGCTTTAAGAACTTAACTAAAAGAAAATTTTTTCTTACATAAAATGAATCGCACTGTGTAGGAATAAATATATTTGTTAAAATCATTATTCAAACGATAATCAGACAGTAACATATTTTCAAGACAATTGAAAAAATTTAATTTTAGATAATAAATGTATGCTTACTCCTTAACTAAACAATTTTCCTTTAAAATACTATTAAAATAATACAATTATTTTTAAAATCATAATTCAACTATAATGAATTATGTTATAGTCACATTATAATTTTTATAAAACTTGTTCAGTCCGCGTTCAGAAAGAATTTTTAAACGTTTTAGAAAATTGTCTTCAGTACTTCGGATGTCGTCCTTATACAGATATTCAGTTTTTCCATTGTAAAATTCCACCTGAAATTTAACAATAAAATTATCATTTAATTTTAATCACATATGTATTAGAATTTTTCAAAATAATAATGACTATACTAACCATATACTTATTTTTGTAATCGACTCCTAAAAATGTTACCTGAGTACTAGGTCCCAATTCAATTACTTCATTTATTTGTGGAATAATACCCTTATCCTATAAACACAAAATACAATTTTCTTAGTCAGTACATGAACATTATCTTGGTGTCCCTTCACCTATACGTGGCACAACTGAGTACAAGAAAATTTAGTGGCTTATAATTGTTACTAGATGTATTCATTAAATTAGATCAACGGGGTAATTAATAGATTCAATAGGTTCATTTATCGCATTATTCTCTATATATCATAAACTGGTACCCCCAATATTTTATGTATTGTGTATCATATCAGTGGTCGTATTTTGCCAGAGTGTACTGGCAAAATACGACCAAAATATTACTGCAAAATATTAACAGTGTACTATTAATATATTAAAGTTTTAAGTGAAAATGGTTGCCATATATATACATATATATATATATATGTCAGGGTGACCCAACTAACGTAAGACACTCATTTTCTTTGAAAATATGAATATTTTGAGAATTTTTATTTCCCTAAACTTTTAGGTAAATATTTGACTACATTTTTCAATATTTTGAAAATTTGTATCACCAATCCTTATAAGCCAAAAAGGGTGATTTTTGGTTTTTTTAAATGCCAACCTAAGTTTTAACTACATAAATTTGTAGACAAAAATTAAAAAATATGTTAGCACTTAAATTTACAAATAACAATAAATTAATATTTTTTACATATATTTTTTAAATTCATCTTTGTAAGGAAACCAACAATGTTCTGTTGAGACATTAAAATGTTTTATTTAAGTATTAGCTGCAGCTGCACTGCAGTCGTTAGTATTAGTTAAAAGCACATTACATCTGTGAGCCAAGAGTCATAACTTATACATCATTAAAATGTCAGTAGTGAGAATAAAACTGTATGTATGCGCATGCGAGAACTGATTAAATGTTGTATGAGTTCAATTCGCCTTTGAAATGCTCGTTAATCGAATCGACCTCGCTGTCTTTGTTACTCTATATGTTAGGTGACAAAATCCTAGTGGCTAGTATCTACGGTACTTCCCTAATATCTATGTATACTATAAAAACGAGTTATTATTAATAGTTTGTATTTTTGTCCATAAATATGAGTCTTCGAGTATATTAATACTATGTAATATTATATTATCATAATAAAGTAAAACAATGCAATATACTAAATTTTAGGTGGTGCACCATAGCTACTCATGTGCTCCATAGCTACTCTATTAATATAGTAGACGGTCAAGTTAAAAAATAATAACAATATTTCATAATCATCACCGTTATATTATCCATATCAATGTTACTAATTCTGCCATCGTTGAACTCGACAACGCCAAAAGGTTTTTCATCAATTCTAATAATTTTTCCTTGTGCATACGTAAGTTGGCCATCACATTTTGCCCAAACCGTTTGATCTTTTCGTATTTCACCCGACTGTAAAATTTAAAACTTATCAATAAAGTTTTAAAGAAAAGATATGAAATAATTTTTTTTATACCTTTTCACGCAAATAACAATGGTTACAGCAATAAATGAGTATCTTATTTTTGTTTTCTCGGCAAACCAGGAATTCAAAACCGGCAAATATTCCACATGATATATGGAACCAAGCGTTGCACACAGGATCACAGCAACGAAAACAATTACCCCATGATAAATTACATATAATGCACTAGAGGAATACAAATATGGTTTAGTTATTAAAAGTAAGTGTATTTTCTAGTTAACATTAAAATAATGTCAGGAACCAGTAACAACTAACTTTCTGCGAAGTAGAAAAATCAGTAGAAAATGAATTTTCACCAAATGGATTATGACCAAAGATGTGAAGATTACATTCTACATGAGACCATATATTATCAGCATATTTTTTAATAGCTCCACCTTTTAATGGACAATATTCACAAGCCTGAAAAAAATTATTATTTCTTTAATTAATATTATTATTGCAAATGTAATAATTCAAAGTATTGAATCAAGGCAGTCATTGGTTTGAAGACAGTGTTACACTCCGTGAGTCGCGTGCAGATGCATAATATGTGCCCCAGTGCTTTGTTTACTAAGTTCATACACAAATATTCACAATGGTATCCAAACTTTCAAGTACCTCCATAGATATGTATGCTCAAAGTCCTTTATTGTAATGGTTGGGTTAGGTATTTATATATGCATGACTATCAGTGTACTTTTTTCTTCAGTGTTATTTTGGATTAGGTTACATTAAATATTTATTTTAAATACAACTTAAAATTATTAATAAGTGTTCAACTGTACAACATGCGACTACATGGGGTTAAATGAAGAATCACTTAGAATGTAGGATTGGTACATTCAGATTTTGTTAAAAAAAATTATACTTACTAAATTTGGTGACACAATTTGACATCGGTCACAGAGCCAAGGTTGATCTTTATCATGATCCACGCCATAACACAATGTATGAACGGTTAAGTAACAGTTTGTACATTTGATCAATGGTGAATGTGGTTTCTTTTCACGCCCTAGAAGAGAGGATTTAAAACAATTTTTGCTGGTTTTTGGAATACTTGATAAATTTGATAGTATGTATGTTGTAGCTTTAGTCCGCCAATTCAAATTGAAAGTCGGCTATAAAATAAAAATAAAAAATTAATATCATAATATTTTACTAGATAATTAAAATACAAGAAGAATGTATGTGCGGCTGTAAGTCATTTTTGGTTTTGTATGTTTCATTTGTTTTGTAGAAACAAATGAAATACACACGTGACAAAAAAAAAAAAGTATTTTTAAGTTATTAGACTCGGCTTTAGCCAATTATCATCATGTAGCTTAACGGGCCATGAAGGCCCAACTGCCATCATGAGATGGTTTCTTGACGAATTCGCTTCCGGGACGGGTCGTCAATCCGTCGCCGGAGAGGGGGATGGCGGTTCCTTTTTACCGGACGATTGTTCGCCCAGCAAACGGAGCGCCTGTGACCTAGTGTCGAACCAATTATCTTTAGCCAATTATCTTGTGAATTTTTTTATAATACAGTGAAAGACTGCATTTAACTAAATATTTTACCATATTACATATATGATGTAAAATTAAAAATAATACGAGCAAAGTATACCTTTTTATGACTAAACATTTGACACACTGCACAATGGGGTTCTTCCTTACTTCTGTAAATATTATACTGTTTTTCAATTTCCAGTGTACAATTACTTTGTATTAAATCATTAATATTTTTTGGGACATCTGTAAAAATTAAAATACAATTTTTATACATTAAATTACTTTATATTTATTTATAAAATAACAAATTTTGAAAATAACTTGAAACAAGATAAAACCTTACCATAGTTGGAATCAAACATTATTTGATTTTTTGTTTTGATACTTAAAGATTTGCAACCTAGTAATAAATATTGTTTAAGTTTAAACAGATTTCATTAAAACGTAAAAATCAATATATTATATTATAATCATTTTTCTAACTCACTGTAAGAATGCATTTCTTCGATTACATCAATTTTAGAATTTCCATTTATGCAAATTGGTTCTAACGTTGGTATGCTTCGATCAGTAGCCGAGTTAGTCCAAATTATTGGTTCTAATGTCTGTGAACCTAGGTTAGTTCCAGACATAACCTGACTAGTGATTTTAGGTGTAGAATGTGTTGATGTATTTGCAATGAACTGATGAACCAAATTGTTTTGAGTCGAGTCACATAATATGCTATCTAATTTGATTGGTGATAGTAATTTTGTTGTCTTGGATTGATCACAAACTTCACTTTTTTCAACTATTATCAACATATTTTATCATTGTTAATATAATTCTTGTAAATTAGAAGAAGAAAAAAAAATGTATATTTACTTGTAAAAACTGTTTTATCAAGAACTTCTACTTCATTGGCGTTTGTATCCATGCAATCAAGACTACTTGGTATTATTGGCGATAAAACATTTGTCTCCGAAGTATCCATGTTGTCCTGCACTTGTGATTCATCTTGCTCAATTATTGGAACAGGAACTTCAACTACATTACATTCAGTAGTATTTGTGTTTTCTAAATATTTAGGTTTTTGGCTCGTTTTATTTCTTTTTGACTTTGTATTGTTTTTTTTAGAATGTCTTTTTTTTGACTTATTTCTCCTTGAACACAATCTGCTATCTGAATAATTTGAATCATTTGATTCATAAGAAGAGTCTGAATCTTCAAGGCGTGTTTTTAATTTTTTTTTAGAACTTGAGACAAATTTTTCTTTTTTATAAGAAACTTCTGATGAATCTAAAAAAAAAAAAAAAAATCATTAACCATCAAAAGTATCATATTTTTCATTGATTTAAAAGATTGTTTTATATTAACCTATTTCACCAGCTTTTAGCCATATATCTTCAAGTACTTCCAATTGTTGTTCATCTGGTATTATTTCATTATGGTAAGCTTTTTGATCCATTTCGTGTATAGCCTCCCTAACATCGGGAGGTATATAAATGTCTTCATTAGTAGAAGATTGATCATCTGACAATTCAGAAACTAAAGTTACAGGATGTCGTCGCTTCCTACCATGGTTTACATATGATTTTGGGATTCCCATATTACTATAAAAAAAAAGTATGCAGTTTAATAATATTGCTTAAGTTAAAATAGTGTAATTAGGTAAATGTTTACTTTTTATTGCATAGTATATCACTTTCACTGGGTAAAGGGGCAGCGAACACGCGAGAAGGATCTTCCGGATGAGGACCTATGTCTAGACCTCGAATCCATAACTCGTACTTATCAGGTTGTATACGCTTGACGAAGGTATCCATGCTAATTTTTACCGTATCTTGGTGGCATCGACACTGTGACGCTCTTTTTCCGTACTCTACCCATCGTGGAGATGCAAAATTTGTAGATTCGGCCATATTAAATCCGTGATTAAAACCAGCATGATATCCATAGGGAAATGTTATCATGAATTCACCCTTTTCTTGAGTTATCTATTGAAAAGATAATGATAAAATAATTAAAAACATAAACTGAAAGTTGTCTATAATACTAACAGTATATTTTACAAAGTTATGGAACTATGCTGCAGTGGAGTATCTAATGTAATGATCTCTTAAAATAATATGAGTGAATATAATAAATATTTATTGTTAATCTTAAGGCCTGTTTTACATCCAACACGTATGCTACATAAGTTTTTTATTAAGCCACATAAAAATTATAGTCTGACAAATTGCACTTATGTATTGTAACTAATGCACAATAAAAATGTTTTTGGACATAAGTGTATTAATATTCATAACAACATATTTTTTTGATTTTCATCACTAAATGGCATGACTTTATCATAGTTCTAGACAAATATCGGGGGGGGGATAAGAATTGAGTGGATATATATACTATAAATAGGAAAATATTGTTAAAATTATAATAATTATCATGTTAATAATATATTTTTTTTAAAACTTTTGTACTTACTTTGTTGAAAGGTATTGAATACTGTTTTAAAACATGGGGAGATATAATAGTCATTTTATGACGAAGAAAAGCTGGACAAATGGCAGCATCGGTTTGAAAAAAACCCGATGCTAATCGTTCTAACCGACGTCCATGTTCAGGTGGTATGGCATACCTAATAAAATGAAATACAATTCCTATAAGTTACAAAAATATTTAATCATATTGGGAAAATAATTCACATTACCATGTTTTTGGATAACCATAATGTAAATAATTTATGCTGTATAAATCCATATCTTCAGTGTGCCATGCAAATGATGTTTTCCACATTCCAAAATAGAGATATGCTGTGTTAACACCGTCAATACTAATACCATAATCTTCATTTACATAGTCCAGGATTGTTCCCAGTCTATTTATGTTCCATATCTTAACAATAAAAGTTCATGATATTATTATGCAGTTAAAATAAAAATTGATGAGATCTTACATCAACATTTTCATCAGTTATTGATCCAGATACATCAGCCCCATAAAGTGGAGATACGTAGCATACATTTTTCCAATATTTTCTTTCTAGATCGTTATAATCAAAATGATTTGGTGGAGAATACCTTTTTGATTCTGCCATTTGCTTATAACCTGCAACGGTCATAGGTTTTTTTTGTATGTTTATCTGCTGATAGAGTCCTTGTTTTCCATTTACAACCTAAACAATATTTAGCCATTAATAAAATAAAGTTCTGCACAGAAAATATTGTTTTATACTTGACAGATTGGAGCTGGAATTTTCAAATTCATAATATCATCAGCATCATAAGGTGCTCGTCTTGGGCACCATTCTGCTGGAGGTATAACCTAAAATTGAAAAATACAGTTAAAAATTGTTTGTTTAACCATACCATGAATAGGTTAACTGACTTTAGCCAGTCCTGCTTTGTGAGCTCCTTGAGATTCCATATAGGCAATATATGCACTGAAATTTTTAAATTCGTCCATGGTAGGCCGAAAGACCATGATTTTTGGAGCATTTGATTGTGACATCATTTGTACTTGATAAAAAAAAAAATGTACAATTAACTTTTTTGTGCAATATAATAATAACATACAATCATTGTATAATGTACCTCTATGTAAAGGTAAAATTCATACATATTATGTATACCAAATGTAATAAAAACACAAAAATTAATAAAAAAAAACTAGTATTTTATATAAAGAATTTATTAATAGATCTAATTCCTCAAAATATTAAATTCAAAAAATATATAAATTCTATGTAATTAGTGATAACTTAGATAGCTCTTTTTAGTTTTGCAAAAGTGGGTATAAAAATGAAATAAAAAACTATTCTAATAACATTAAGTACTTCAATAATTTAAATAGTCAGCTATTAAAATAGTTAAAATTATTATTCAAAGTATTTAAACATTAGTATTTTAATTAAAAACCTAATACTATGTAGTAATAAAAAAAAAAATCAACTTCTTAAAAAGTTCTTTTATTTAAATGGTTTACTTAAGAAAAGATGACATCCATTTATTGACATTTTCCTTAAGACTAACATCAAGCAGAAAAGACATTACTGATTAACATAAGACATCAAAATTATAAAAAAAATGAACTTGTGACATTAATATAATCCCAAAATAACAGAATTTGTACTTATCTATTATGGATGTTATTGATAAGTGTTAAAAAAAGGCTTTAATAAATATCGTAATAAAATAACGGCATAAAATTACTTTACCGGATACCCTTTTTTTGTGTGATTTTTTTTAGGTCATCTGTAGTGTTTTTTACACTAATTACGAATCTGAAGTCAGAAATTCGTGGACTTTAGTTTAAAAGTTATAGCTACTTGAATTACCAGAAAATTAAATAAGAACCTATTACTTTTTGTTATTTTGAAGGGTAGGTTAGGTTTTGTTCGGTCTTGTTAGGACGCTGACTCTTCCAGAGCAGGACCAGGTTAGCTTAGTCCTTTAAGAAAGCTAATTTTTTTCTCTGGTGGTTTGAGGGCGTGAACCACCTTCCTAACAAGAGACCTGAAAGGGGCCTGAGTCTGCTCCTGGAGCTGGCAGTCGTAGGCGGTCGTTTTACATAGCTAAGATTTATATATTTGCCATAGTGTTCATTTCAAAAAGGGAGATTTTGCTCATTTTTTCCTGTTCTAACAAAATACTGCATTGAGTGTAGGAAGTTAAGAGATTATTGCTGTAGTTGTGATCGTTATTTTTAGGCTACAACTGAGTTGTACCATGGTAATTTATTGATAACGAATTGGAAATAAAATGCTGTGTTTTTCAATCGCGATTTGCGTCGCCGACAATAGCCATATATATATAGCCGCCTACTGTTATAAAGTTCAACGTTCAAGTAGTTATGGCTTCTGAACTAGAAGAGTCTACCGAATTCTGATTTCTGATTTGTAATCAGCGAAAAAATACTACAAGATAGTAAAATAAAAATCGTAAAAAAAAAGCGTGCCCGGTAAAGAGTATTTGTTCTATTTACTTTACCGGGCAGTATTTTCTTTGCAATTTTTTTTTACCATCTTGTGGTATTTATTATGCTGATTACGAATCTTAAATAAAAAATTAACGGACTCTTATAGTTCAAAAGTTATAGGTAGATACTTAAAGTTTGCATATTTCTGCATGTATAATAATAGGTAACTTTGGCAAGAGGCGGGCTGAGGACGCAGCGTCAGTCACTGCACTATACATTTGTCAGCAACATGAGTGTGCACTGCTACAGTACTATTAGTTAATTATTTATTTTTATTATTAGTACTAATATTATATTAATAAATAATTTAGTATTAATATTATATTGAACAATAGAATTTTCTTAAATATTAAAGCCCAAGTAAGTAAATGTTTAACCAATAAAACGACTCCCTAAGCCTAAGTTGACTCTGGAGTCGGCTTCGGGAGCTGACTCGAGCCCCTTCTCAAACCCCAAGAGGAAAAAAATAGCTTGCCTAAACTAACCTAACCTACCGCTCTAGAAGCGTCAGTCACCTAACGAGATCAAACCTAACCTAGCCTGACATAGCCTCGCGTCGCAGACAAAGTCCCAGTGCGCAGTGGGCAGATGCGACTATAGTCGCCGCAACCACTAGTTGCCCACGCCCGCTGTCTCAGTCGACGCCTATTGTAATGCACATGGAAATATGCAAATTTCAAGTAGCTCTAACTTTCAAACTAGAGGAGTCTGCTAATTTTTTAATTAAGATTTGTAACCAGCGTAAAAAATACTACAAGATATAAGATACATGGTAAAAAAATTATTATTTTTTCCAAAATATCTTTTGTATTTTAATTTGTTGTTTTATACTAACTCACAGTTTAAATAAAGAAAGGGTATTGTTCATGGCTGGTTGACACTATTACGATCTTATAAATTAATAAAATACACTATTTAAATCTGTAATCTAATAGACGTGAACATGGTTGAATTAAATCTTATATTAAGAGACAAAATTAGAGATCATAATATTTAAATGGGTTTTTGAAAGTTAAATTTGGAATAAATTCACTTTACCTGGCACATTTTTTTTTCCATTTTAGTGTTTTAAGGCCGATTTAAATTCTGAAATCAGAAATCCGCGGACTCTTCTAGTTCAAAAATTACAGCTTGTAAAAGTTACAGTTGCGCAAGGCGCTGCAGTGAGTGGCAACTTTTACAATCTGTAACTTTTGAACTAGAAGAGACCGCGGATTTCTGATTTCAGATTCGAAATCAGCGTAAAAAACACAATATATATTGGCAAATAAAAAATTGCAAATAAAGGGTGCCCGGTAAAGTGCATTTATACATTAAGTTTGAATCATTTATATTTATTTGTTAAAATATCTAAGTATGAAGTGTATTAATAGCCTACACAGTACACACTAGGATATTTGATAAGGATATCAGTAAAACATTTTGTTCGTATAGTCAAATCGGGCATTATTTAAAATACAATACACACTATTAATACTAATTGTTACCTACGGCAAGTTTCAAAATACCCAACTATTATAATATAGTTAGACATCGGTCAAGTGCAATAAAAAATGTATACTTATAACCGAGCGTTTTTGGGGCGGCATAATATTAAAAATAAGGCCTTTTACAATAGCATAAAAGCGTAATAGTATACTCACAGTTTGCAGTCGTCCCGATTAGTCCACAATGGGGTGTCCAGTGTTTATATTTTGGTAAACACAAACACGTTTAACGAGTGAATCTACGATTTATGAACGAGCGATTTTCAAACCTCCATGACGCGACATTAGCGACAGATTGGCGATTGACAACGACGGTGGTGTAATAGTACTACGATTAAATCGTCATGTCTTCTCATAGAAAATCAAAATTCGCACTACGTCTGTCCATTAAACAGTATAACTATTAAAAACTACCATCCATATATTACGGTATAGTATATATCATTCGATAGGACTATTATTGTTTGTTATGATTACTGAACGCCATTACCCAAACACTGGAAATCTCGTACACCTCTAGACAGCGTATTCAAACGGAGCGATTCGTTCCGTCAAATCATAGTAACGTTTCGTAACGACACCTACAACATGATGGGCACGAGCGGAAAATGTTTTTCCGCAGCGTACCATATTATAGTAAAACGTTTATCGCCAACTAGGCTCCATGTCGGGTTTTTCCCTCTTACTGGCTGCACTGGTCTGTTTATGATAAACACGAAAGCTGTTGATAGTGTAGTCGCTTTCCAAACAATCATTATTATTTTTATCATAGTTCAAGGGTCGTAGACCTGGAAGCTGTAGTGTAGTGTAGTTGTTAATTTCTTAGTCAAAACGTTTTTATGATTTTTTTTTTATGCTGTAGTGTGTAATTATATATAATTTGCTTATACTTTTCGAGTTTTTTAATGGGTTAGTTATTTTCTCGTGTCAATTGATCAGTAATAATTTTGTATAATAGTGTCGATTAAACAATTAGTGTCCTACTGTTATGGTTTGACGTCTTAGCTGTTTTGAATATTGAAGTAAGAAAGATATTTTTGGTACATTACATAATCGTGGTAGAGTAATAATACTATATTAATGTTAAATACTACTTGGTTAATAGAATTCTGAATACAATATGATGTGTTTCAAAATTGCAATAACAGAAGAGCAATTTGGTTTGTTTACATATTTTTTTTTTTGTTTTTTTATTTGGAATTTGTACAATCTGTAATAAATGTAATTACAATAAGCACAAAGGATAAATTACATGGTAGGCAAATATATAATAATATATTGATACAGTAGACTTGTTAGAAGAGGCCAGCCAGAGCTGGTACTTCATGACGTGTGAGATCGTGGATTAGTCAACCAATAGATCGCGACACCACGTTCGCTTTAGGCGCCTTCTGGGGTCACCAGGGATTTTACATATTTTAAAAGTAAAAAAAGTATAACAAACCAAATTAATTATGACTATTGACACCTGTTGTTTGAAAAACCAGATTTATAATGAAAATAGGTGATAAAATAGCTATAATTATTTTTGTATGCCTGTGTATTACTAATACATACATTTAAAAAATAATTTTACTGTTAACTACCTAGGTATTCATTAATATTTGTGACAGCTATAATAATTGGTCATGTTTAAAAGGCGTCCTTTTTTCATAAAGAAAAGCAATTCAAAATTTTATTAAGTATTGTGGTTGCATGCTGGTAGTAGGTGCAGGTCCATAGTTAGTTTGTTACATTACTTCATCACATGTCATTTTATTTCAGATAATTACATTTTTTTTCTAATTCAACAAGTATACAGGCTAATTTAATAAGAGGTGAAACATGAACAGTAATGAGACAATGTACCTATAATAAATAAAATGTTTTTATTTAATATTATTACAAATGTAAAATAATTATTAATACAGTTGAAGGGCTGCAGGGAAAAAACATCAATGTCAATTTTTTTTGAAAATGAGATATTAGTACCATCGTTTAGCTTGTTCCCAAAGGAATCGAACTACGAATCGGTTTTGGATGGAAAGATCATTGTCTGCCTAAAAATAAAGGGAGAAGAAAATGTGTGACGGAAAAGACTCATCAAGGTCCATGCGGTGGCGGAAAAAAACGGTCAACCTCAACACTCCTGGGCTCGAGATGGAAGCAAACCGCAAATGATGCACACCTAGTTGGTTTACTATGGTCCCTACAAGTCGTCTGTTATCACACTTACTTCAAAGCAGGTAAAAAATAAGAAAAAAATAAAGATACGACTCTCCGCCTTTCTTACCAAGGCCCCTTTCACTAAAAAAAGCAAAGCTTGATGATCTATTACACCTGAAGCAATTTTTGACAAAGCCTGAAGCTCAAGCATTTTACGATACATTTGCTTGTGATGACACAAACAGCACTGAAGAAAAGGTTGAGTACCTGGATGACCCTCCGATTGACACTTTGGAGGAACTGTGATAGGAAATACTAATCAAGGTCAATGACTTTTCAGAGATTTTATTTTATTTTTCATTTTTTGTATAAGTATAATGTATTTTTTTTCTTTCACCCAAATATATGTAGTTTTCCGACAACATATGATTTTCTCTCTCTCAAACCCTTGCTGCAATGTCATTTTGTAAGTTGTTAAACTTTAAAAACGGAATTACCAACAATTAAATAAAACTGACATTGATGTTTTTTCCCCGCAGCCCTTCAGTTCACTTCAACCATAAGTATATGACATATAATTAAACCCGTTTGGGTTAAATGAGTAGGCTAATTTATTGCCTATTAAATTTTATTTTTCTATACAAATTACACTTTAAATATCAGGCATTCTTACAAAATGGAGTATGTAGGTACAGTAATTATAAGAATATTACTGTTTTTTCATTTTTGTTTTTGTTTTAGCTTTGAATTGCTGTGATTGATCAATAAGTTATTACATATGCCCTCCTAAGCAAAAATGCCGTAACTAAAAACAAAAATTAAAAAAAACCGATTAAACCAAGTAAGAAACCGTTTTACTTTGTTTATTCGGGTTTTTACAAAACAAAATTTTTTTTTATTTACGTCATTTTTGCTTAGGAAGGCCAGACGTTCATGCTTTTTAAATTTTCATTAAAATCCCAGAAGTATATTTTAATTTCATTCAAGCATATAGAATCAATTATCAAAGACATTGAAGTATGACAAATAACAAAAAAACAATATTAGAAGTGTATTACAAAACTAACGTTATACAAATAATACTTACCTAATACTTCTTTTATTTGTAATTCCCAAGTTATTTTTTGTTTTTAAAATATTCATTAGTAGTACTATTAGTATTATTTTGAATGGGTTATAAAAAAAATATTTACCCACACTATATATTTTTTTAGTTCCCTATACTATTTTACTATTAAGCATTAGAGTGTACTATATTGTCCACAAAGTAAGCAATAATATTGCTACTGCAAATAAAATATATATCTGTATAGTAAACACAATGCATGCATGTTTTAAAATCATTTCATTTAATTACAATCTTCATTAATTATATCATCAAAGTTAATAAATAATATTATAATAGATGCTTTGATCCTCAGTTAATATTTTTAAATATATCTATTATTGACAGTTCAAATAAGAATTAAGTTTACATGTTTTTACTGTTATATTAATATTAGGGTAGTTAAAAAAAACCTTACTTTAGTATTGTTTTTTTGCAGCACCCCATTTCCCCCTAATTTGTTTTTATGATTTAAACTTGGAAACTTAAATCTTGATGTGGTATGTGAAGAAATTGAGTATTTGAACCCAAATTTTCACAGAATTATTTTTTTATATCATAAAAAAAATAAAGAGAAGGGGGTGCAAACAAAATTCTTTAGTCCATTTTTTTTTAACTACCCTAATATATTTATATATATATATATATATATATATATATATATATATATATATATATATATTGAAAGTCCTTCATAAATTTATCAGATAATGTTTTATAGTTGATAGTGTGGAACACATACATTTCATAACACTTAACTCAATGAATTTGGACTTTGTTGAATAGGGCCCACCGTCCACGCTTTTCTTATTAGTCAAAAATTAAAGATGTTTAACATAATTTAAAATTGTAGTTCATTTTCGGTTGTTTTCAAAGTAATTGACATTTTGAAAAAATTGTGCTACAAATTACAATTGATTGGTAAATAATTTACCAATTATTGTTCTTGTAGTAAAATTATTTTTTACTTTTTAGTTCACTTTTTTACTGTTTTTTAAAAAGTTTTTTTTTATTTATATATTTTATTTTTTACTTTTTAGTCCCCCCTACAATACCTGGTAATCCTCCGAGACGTCTGAAGCGTAATTGGTGTCGAGATCTCTTAAATTAAATTAATATCAAGTTAACAGAAAGTGTTATCAACGGGTGGCTTCTTTCAACAAAACTTCATGATTTTATAACATTTATCACATATTTTTATTGTGTCTAGTATAATTGATACAGATTGTTTATTACGTGTAAAAATAAAAATAAAAACTAAAAAAAAAAAAAAAACTTTTTAGTCCTATTAAAGGTACTTAGTATTTGTAAATACATTACTAAATTCATTTTGGAAGATTTGAAAAAACATGAAATTTTAGTGAAATGACCCCCACATATTACAGGATATTGTATTGTTATTTGATATGGGTGTATGTGCCAAGTTTCAGCCGTCTACGACATCGGGATATGGGTTAAATTAGTTTTGCAAGATTAAAAAAATACCCGTACAAACGTACGTACGTTGTGTTGTTAGCGAGTTAAAGAAAAGCATGTAAAATGTAGTGTTTTTCTTTATAATTTTGGAGAAACAACTTACAACAATATATTTTTTATTTTATAACAATCAAAACAGTTTGCATTTTAAATTGTTGTAATTGTATATTGTATTGTACACTTATATATTTTAGTTCTTTCTTTGAATTTATTTTCATTAAGTATTTAATTTCTAACTGTAATTTATTATAGTTAAATACTTTACAATTTTAGTAATTGCGGTATTTGTGTACAAGTTATATAAGTATCTAATACTAATATTAATATTCTTTAATGGAAATTTTAATTCCAACTATTTACAATATCGATTAGAATCTAATTTAAAATTGATTTCGTTAATTTTACTAAATAATATGTTTTAATCGTGTAGGTATTGAATTAAAAATGTTTTTAATACGTAACTGTAATATTGTATAAGTGTACTATTTCAAAATATTTACCTACCCATTTATATAAATTACTAATTAGTATTACTGCAGTATCTCATTTAAACGATTTGTAAGTGTTTCCTTATTCTTAAACTGTATCCATGCGTATTACGTGTTTCCTTCGTTTCTACCCACTTGCATCAATCGTTTTCTCGGAAATGTATATGCAATAACTCGTACGGAAATCTATTTTATCCATAGAGAATTGTACTCGTATTTACAAACATGAGTTTTTTTTAAGTACTTCATATACATATTGTTGGTGTTAAATACATTTATTCCGCAAAAATAATTTTCGATATATTTTATCATTTATTTAATCAATTTGAAACCGAGAAGTGTATTATATTTACTTTGATGGTCCTAATTTTTTCATTCATTAGAATGCATTTATTTTATAATAATTTTTTCGTAGACTCCTTTTATTTGTAGGTAATTGAACGCTAAAAATTAAATATTAAGAATTAACCTTAGGACCATCCCCGAGGACCAGTGGGTGTGGGCTGTAGGCTATGAAATATAAATGGTCATGCTAATCATATTACGAAAGATACACAGCAGCTAGCTGTACACACTATTGTTTTTCAAATCCCAACAAAAACACTACGTTAACTCAGTAAATGGTCCCTATGTAAAACAAAAAAAGTATTTCAACATAAGCTCTAAAATACGTGGTATAATATAGGAGCCAAGTAAATACCATAATGTAACAATATTTATTATACATTATTGCCAACAAATAAAAATCTGTCAACATATTAAACCAGTCATGAAAAAATGTAAATTCAGTTTACTTGGCCGGAAGTCGAAGTTTGTTTCCTACTATATCCCTATTATAACAAGTGCTATATTTTCTAGGTCAGAAATAGGAAAACAAACTTCGACTTTCGGCCAAGTAAACTAAATTAACATTTTTTCATGACTGGTTTATTAATGTTTAATGTATTAAAAATAAACTTGGTGTGAGGGTAATACATCAACCAGCTCACTTTCTGTCAATACGCCACTGAAATAGCTAAAACAACTGAAATCAATAATTAGTTTGTTATATTATAATATAATTCAAATATTTATTATAAAGTTACCTATATATATATTATTATTCTTTAAAATGTCTAGAAGAAATGCTACTCATACTTATCAATGAATTACATCATGATTTTCTAAAATGTTTGCTGAACCCTTAAATTTGTGTAATTTTATAATAATACACTTATGATATGTGATATATTATGACGCCTTCTCAAATATATATCATATCTGTTGTACTAAGGTACCCGAAATCGTTGTAATGTCTTTGTTAGTGTTTTATAGTCATGAAATAAAATCTTATATTCTCCGTAAATTTTTTTTAAAATAATTTTTGGGCTCGATTTATCTTAATTTTATTCAAGCGTGTTTAATCGTCCGCTTTGCATAGGCAGTTACAAAATTATCGTTCCGTATTACACGCTTGTTATAAGACAAAAAGAAGGAAGTGTAACAACATGTAATACGATTTGTGAAATCGTTTCCTGCGTTAAAAAAAAGGTATATTTTTACTTTAAAACAATAACGATCTAAGAACAACTTAAATAGATTTAAAGTGGACTTGTCCTATTAACTTGTAGCTATACAAGTAACTCATAATAAAAAAAAATGTTTGTAGATTAAAGCTTCGTAAAACAAGTAATCTACCTTTTGCTGCTACATATGTATTTTTATTGTCGCTCAGCGTTCTGCCACCCTAATTATAACCTACCTATTAACAAAGTATCAATAATTTAAAACTAGTTATTGATTAGTCGACGTCTTTAGTACTGACTACAAATCACATTATCATTGTGTTATTAATTAATTTTAATATACAAAAATTATAGCCCGATTACGCCTAAAATTTAAGACGAGTGACAATGTATAGAAATTAAATAGAACAATTATAGGTTAAAATTTCATAATTGTTTTTTTTAATTCGTAATGAATCGGCATATGTAAGATAAACGGTTGTTTTTAAAAATTAAAAGCTACTATTTAAAATATTGAGTTTAGTATAACGGAGTAATAATATATATAGAATAAGTTAGTATGTATATCATGTAAATATGACTATTAAAGTAATAGAGTTTTAAGAATATAATGGACATTTCTTTATAGTCGAGCGTAATTCTTATATAGTATTCATTTATTGTGTATCTTAGTGTTTATGCTTATATTGTACACACATTTAAATGATAGGCCCGTAGATCACTACGCGTTAAAATAAAAATGTTTTTAGGTATATATTTTTAATTCGTAATGGGGAACTGATAGTGATTTTTATCAAAAATGTAATTGCTTGTTTTATTTTGTTTGAATAATTGAAGAATTTGATCAGAGATTGCACATTCTTTTCAAAGGTAAGTATACAATTACAGTAATTAATATAACATTTACATATACGACTTTGAGGTATAATTTTAAATTATTTGTTTTGATAACTTATTTTCTTCAAGTGGGTGACGTACTCATCAGAACGAGTTTTTGTTCTCGATAAACCTTTTCGTTCGATTATTTTTCTAAGTTACGATTTAATTTTAATTTTTGTCGTTATATTTTTCTAATAAGATTGCTATTCCAAAATTCAGTTATGAACGTTTCACATTCGTGAAAGCGAACGACTATTCTTATTAAGGGTTATCCCTTGTATGAAAATACAAAAGAGCTTAAAATCGTTTTGAAAAATTCTAAATAGATCAGAGATTTTGATCATTTTCTAATATTATTGAAACAGTTACAAAGTGTCCAACTACCAGCATTTGCTTAATATTTGCATAAGATAAAGTGGTTCTCTTTTATTGATACGTACTCATTGCCTAATTGCTCTCGCTCATCATTCAAATTATAGTTATTAGCTATTAATAGCTATTTCATTGTTTTTATTCGTATCATTACTTAAGCAATGTAAGAGATTAAATATAAATTTACTAGTTGAGTAGAACAAATTAAGCATCGATTGGCATTTATAGGTCAATATTTTCAATACTCACCTAAAAAATGAAAAAATGTGAAGGGATAGAAAAGATTAGAAGTTGGGATTTTTCTTTTGTAAAATTTTTACTGCCATTTTACAGAAATATCATGCTGTGGCCATCATTAACCAATTACCGTAATTATTTTGTTGATAACCATTTGTTGTAAACCATATTTAGATTATAGGTTAAAGGTTAGGTTTATAACATTGATTCATTAAAAAAAATATTGCCTAAAGATTTTTGTTTCATAAACACTGTTAGCGTTTCAGTTTAATAGTTATATTATTTTCAACATTTTACAGCTAGTCGCGAACATAAAAAAAAGACGATAAGGTCTTTTACCATTTTTTTTATCGTCAACAAATCGTACACGGTACACTTATGTACACGCATTCTCCAAATGGGATTTATTATGATTACATGATTATGCTCATTATCTTCATTATCTTCATTCATAAACGTATTTAAATTGCTTCGATAACAGACCGGCGTTATCAATACAAAACGACAAAATCCAAAAACCCTATTGACGATTTCGAAAAGGTCTACGTACAGCATTTTTCTTTTAGCGATTTTGACAAGGTCAGACGTGTATAAATGTCAAAACGCCATTTCATTAACCGTTTCGTTTATTAATGCATTTCCGTGTCTCCGTTTCAATGTAACGTGGCTAACGACACGCATGACAATATAATATATAAATATTAATAATAATATTCTCGGTTCCCCTCCACCCCAACATTTAGGAGTAGTTGTGCGTTTAAATCCATATAGCCACTGGAAGGTTAGGCTAGTACTCGGAGACAATCAAATATAGGATGTAATTAAACACAACCACAATAGTATCACAATCCCTATGTACGGTAGGTAGATATTTTTGCCCATTGTATTTGCACCTTCAGAATTTTTCGTCCGTTTCTATCTAAATGTAGGTATTTAAAAGTATGACTTATTACCTATGGGTATGTCACTAGGTACCGTGTACGGCTATCCCAATGAGCGTTCGTGTGAGCTCAATGTCAAATATTACCGTCATACGGTGATGTGATACTGTGATAGCGTATTAAACCAGAGAAGGGGTTCGAACACGATATTGGTATGGACGAGACTCGAACGTCGCCGCAGTGTTGTTTTAGCGGTCGACCTCATTGGCGGCACTTTAGTTCACATGTAATATAATAACATGCACGCGTCCGTCTAACGATAGTGTTGTTTGAAAAAGCCAGTTAAAATTTTTTTCTCACTCGGAGAAAGTCTACTTATAATAATACTACTATTATACCGGTGAGAGCTCGACTTGGACAAACCCAATTGCAAACATTTCGGTAAGACCTAAACGATTTTTTTATCGTTTTGTTATTTTTTTGTGCCTCAACATGTCGCGCCGTACCTGTTTATTGTGTGACCTTAAGGGTTTATTGAAATTGAGGCCATCGTCGCCGTTTAGTATTCAGTGCTATGTTTTTCTTTGATTTTTCGCTTATAGCGTGAGCAAAATACATTACCCACTGTTTGTAACGTTGAATATACAGTATGATGTCGAACGGGTCAATCGTTTTTCCATAGTAAATAGTAATAGACTTAACGCGCCAGTATCGAAGGCGCATGTCGAGTTTGTTCAGCTGGTTATATAACTGTATACAATAATAATACATATATGAAATTAAAAAAAAATCTGCGTCGACTTTTGTCACGGTATAAGCTGGTTTTGCGTTACATTTTATTTTCACAAATCGACTTGTCCCAGGTACAGTATAATAATCCTTCGTTATCTATCTTTAATATACATCAATATTGGTTTGTTTAGTTTTGGCCAACAGGATATTGTATTAAAATACGATTTTCAAGGTGTTTTACCCGTTGTATACAACCCGGTATAATATTTCTTTATTATTAGACTTATGTTTGAAAGTCATACGGTTGTTTTTTTATTATTATTTATGAAAAATGTATTATAATAGGATCGGATTTCAAAATTTAATCAAACCTTATTGGCCATTAAACTATGTACTTAAAAAGATAGTAAAAAGTATTTTTTTTTTATAATTAGCACACCGGTAGACGCGTGAATAATTACTATTGAAACAATACCTCGCAGTGACGTTATACGTATTAATTATTATAATATTAATTTATAATCAAAATTATTATATTGTATTTCGTGTATACAGTATATTATTATGCAAGGTTTTTTAACGTGAAACAGTATACTCAACTATAATAGCAGTTTGATTAGGATCGGTTCGTGGTGGAGCTTTTAGGTTTGCCTTAGTTCAGATAAGGTATTTAGTTAATAGCCGATAATTACTATGGTCGTTGCTTCCTAGTATAGTATTTCAATTAAATGTTTTTACATTCTGTTATTTGACAAGTATGGATTATGTTGTTTTAGTTTGTCAAAGAGCTAGTAAAATCCAGAAGTCTTTGCAGCCGAATGAGTTACAGAGCAATAAACAAAAACTATTAAATGGTCTCTATTTTTCTATGGTGTTTTAGTTTTGGCGTGTGTATCCTCTCTTTCTAAAAGTTTTACAACGGTATTTGAAAAATAATTAATGCTAAACATTGGAATGTTATGTTGTTTAACACGTTTTAAAAATTATTCATATTGAATTTCCAAAGTTTCATCCTATTAAAATGTGTATAAAACATTTTCATCGTCTTGTCAATATTCTCATAATAGTATCTGTAGTCTGTACCTATTCTATCTTAATGGTCCAACTACTTTCTCACATACTAAGCTACATAATATTCAGCCGTTTTCATCTAAAACAACTTTTATAAATTATGCGAGTAGTGCTGTTTGATGTTAGTATTATATACAATGAATGTATGTTATGTACAAATTAAACATGCAAATTTCAATTTATTGACACTTTTCACTTTTAATTTATGTTAAGTTTTTGTTGGAGACACGTAAAATTTGGAATTATTTTATTTTTATGACTTCCAAAACGAATACTGTGATTGCTTCAACCGTTTCCCTCTCGGGTAGTCTTTTGAACTTTATTATTTTCTTGTCACTAGTTTTTCTCATAATATATCCGGTCGTCACTGCGTTCAAGGTTAAAACAATTGAACTGCCTAACCCACACAGAGAAACTATGAGGCCATCTTAATTATTAACGTTTGTACTAAAAATACAGTAGTTATTAATCGCAGAAAGGAAGTTGATTGTTTTTACTGCATGCGCTATTAAATATCGCTTTATAAAAACATTTTAACAATTATAATTTTATCAATATTTTTTTTTCCTAGGCAAGTAATAAGCTATGCCCGTGTCAAATGGAACAGCGGAAAAAAACACTATTAAAAAACAAAAAAAATGGTCATTGTTGGGTATATTGTCAAAAAAAAAGAAACTTAAGACTAGCCAGGAGAGCATGGACTTTTGTCCATACGAAGGGAAGTTTAATCAGAACGTCGCAAGAAAATCCCATCTGGAACGTAACAGTGACGGCCTTTGCGTAATTCAACAGTACACGCGCAGTCCTAGGCCTATAAAAAGGTGCCATTCTATGCAGTACACTGCGGGCCCTTTATCGAACGTCAGCGGTCGATCCGATTGGAGGCTGTCACAGCAGTCCGTGTACAGTACCGGTTCGAGCGCTTGTTACAGCGACACCGGCGTGTACAGGGGCGGCGCTAGCGACAACCGGCGGGCCCATCCTGTTGTCGCGCCGCCGTTTCGGTGTTCCTCCGAAGTGGGCCATTACCGAAACAAAATATTGGCCAGGAACCTGACACCGGCTGATCGTAGTGGGACCAACAGATCCAAGCAACACCTGATCGGTAAAAAAATACCACCGCCGCCTCCCCCAAGAAATCCCAACGTCAAAGCCGTTTACTACTATGAAAACAATCGGTTGGTATCTAGAGAATCGGATTCGAATTATTTTTCACAAAGCTCGGACGAGTACAGTCCGACCAGGTGCGACCGAACGGAAGGCCTTCAATTGGCCGACGATGATGACAACGACAACGTGTTTCGTTATGACGACAACAGTTATACAGAAGAACCCGGCCCTAGAAGCAGGTGTCCCATACAGATATGCGACGTTGAAACACTATCGTCCGAATGTGTGGAACAAGTGCCTCGAACCCAAAGCGTAGAAGAAGCTCTCCAAGAGTTGGAAGACATATACAACAGTTTGGGTTTGAGTGACGACGATCTGTTGGACAGAGCCGAGCGGCGCGACCTGCCCACAGCGCACCAAAACATGCGGTACGAAAGCTTCGATGAGACGGATTACGCGACAAGCGTCAGTGGCGATAGGCGTATGCTGTCGAGGTCGTCGAGGCGGTCAGGCGTTCCGAACGTTGTATCTGATGACATGGCATACCGCAGGTTAAACCGCAGAGAAACGAAGAAGGACAACCCGACATTCCTTGGTAGTTTTCTGTTGGTCCTGCCCTCAATGTACAACTTGGACACCAATCCTACCGTTGTTTCTAAAGAACCTGATGCGACACTGGACGACGTGGTGTTCAGAAGTCGTAGGCAACACCGCAACTGTCTCAAAGTGCCCGACCCTCAACCGCCGTTTGGCATACCGCTAGGTCCAATTGTGGCCGCCGCTCCCAGCGATTACTTACACGCAGTGCCCGAGGGCCGGTATAAGCCGACGTTCCACCCCCGCAGGACCCCCGACACGGTGGAAGACGATTTGGCGTTTCGCAGTCTTCGCAAAGACAACTGCAAGACCGGTGGCGTGTACTTCAACGTGTCGTATGTTCACAGAGATCGATTTCGGATCAACGGGGCTCTCGTACCTAGATCTATGATCAACAGACTGGCTAAAGATGACGCGCATTGGATCATCAAAAACCCATTGGCTGTCGACTACCCGACATCTGATAAGCACACCAACGTGGTTATTGTCAAGGTCGACCAACACAAGCCGATCGTGTTGACGGGGTTCACGTTGGATGAAGCCGACCGTCTGAGTAAGTCACTTGTTTGCACGCAATTACCTCCATCACCTCGCGAGCATGAGTATCGTCGAAAACGCTTGTTGTCCAACAGCCGAGCCGCAATTTATCGCTCAAATAAAGCACTGCCTTTAGTACCGTTAAAGCCGAGCTCTAAATTCGTTGCTGGGTCACCCGTTAGCCCTCCAGAAGAACCGCGGCAGGTTAACCGCGTTGACTATGATGTCACTGCCGTCGCGTCAACTGAAACAGGAAAACCGCTCGCCCCGGAACTGACCGGTTTAGACGATAATGCCGGCGGGTCGTGCCGCAAAGGACAACCGAATTTTAGGGAGCTCATTCGGCGTGAGTATGCCAACAGGTTTACGACGGACCAAATCGATTGGCACGCGACGAATTCTGTTCACGGCCATCGCCGGCGAGTGTCCCCCAGTGTTCTAACCGACGAATTGGCCAATACCGGTAAAACGGTCGTCGGCACCATAGGACCCCAAGACACCGTCCGAAAACAAAGTGACGCGGAAGTCTCACAGACTGAAGAAACGCTCAAAGGCTTCTCCTTGTCGTCCGGACAACATATGGCGTTGGTGCCGTGGTCGTCCTCGAAGAGCACAGCGGACTTGACGGTACCGCCGAGGCGGACGTCCCCCGGATACTTGGAGGTGTGCTTGTACTTAATCGTATGCCTATACCAGTTGCTAAGTGTAAATGCGTTCAGCACACTAATAGCATTGATCTTACTTATCGCTTTACACTTTTGTAGAAGTCTTTCGTGATACAATCATTGCATACCATAATACCTTTGTAAAAATATAGAAATACCTATTTTTTGTTGTTGTTTATAATAGCTTCTTTTTGCTTTTGTTGTTTTTAGCATTTATGTTTTATTTAATTATTTATTCGAAAAATAATATCTATCGGTGCTAGGTAAGTTGTATACCAAATATACTTTAATATGAATACAATATAATATACTGTATGTACGTTTAGTCAGTTTCGTAATGACAACGTAATGTACACGCTGGGAGAAAATATGAATAAAAAAAAATAATGCGTACGTAATATTATTATATTATATACCTATATAAACGCCATACATGTATATTTTTTCACAGTTGGTGTTTTTTTCTTAATCCCCTCTCACTTCTCCCTTCTGCTGTAATTTAGTCTATGCGCCTGCTGTTGTTGTTGTTGTATATATGTGCTGTATCCCGTGCCTAATGTTAAACTACTAGTATATGTACACTTTCGACAAAAAGCGCCGCACGAAGTATCATTGTATAGTTTTGTTATAATATTCTAACAAACTTTGAAAACTAACAAACGTTGCGCGCATGTGTATTATATTTTTTAAATTTATATGAAAACAATTATTTGTAAACGATAATTGTGTTTTCGTTAATTTGAATTTGTAAGTGGTGTAAAAAAACAACAAGTGTTAAGAAATTTTTTACACATAGGTATTTGTAGTGTATGAGTATTGTAATTTGTAGTACTGGGTAACGACAATATTTTCCAAACGTTTCAAATTGATTGAAAACAAATATTTATATCGCTTACATTTTATATTACATTTCATTACAAAAACATTTGTAATGTTAATATATATAATAGAATACTATCCATTATTAACATTTAAAATTCAGATTTTATTCAAGTACATCACACAAACCCGTAGTTTTCCTAAACATCTTATTTCAAATAAGCTTTTTTATGTTTTTTAATTTTTTCATTTTCATTTACTTCTATAAAACATTTTACATATTTAAAATCTCATTTTGTAGACAACTAAGTTCCAATAAAAAAAAAACATTTCGTGGATTAATTATATTTTATTTAAGTTGATAATAACCTACAAATTAGTATTATCTTATGTAAAATAATAACATAGGTACTAATGTTTTGAGGAGTGGCCGAGTGGGTAAGGCGGCAGTGTGTTAGCGCTCACTGTCGCCGGTTCGACACTCGGTCACAGGCGCTCGTTTGCTGGGCGATCAATCATCCCGACCGCCATCCCCTTCTCCGGCGACGGATTGACGACCAGCCCCGAAAGCGAATTCGTCAAGAAACCATCTCATGATGGCAACGTTGGGCCTTCATGGCCCGTTAAGCTACATGATGATGATGATGATGATTTATGTTTTGTATGGATTGTGTAGATTCGAATAATAGGGGAGGTTAATTTTTTTTTGTATTAGCCTCAAAAAGACCGTCCTACACACGGTTACTGACCGATAGAGAATACTTAAAGTATGCAGATTGTGGGTCTAGGATTTAGTGTAGAAATTAATAACACATCTATTGTAAATCTCAAAACTGCATTAAAGCTAAAACAATTCTGTATGTACATTATATTACCCACATCTTGACCCTCCCAGGCACAGAACATATAACAATACTCGCTGAGGGTATTGTGTTTTCCCAGAGGTGTGTCATTGTTGTTTAAAACTACGGTTATGATATAATAATATAATATTTTACAACTTGATGTATTCGAATTAAAGACTGACTGCTCGCCTACTAAAAACAAATGAAAAATTAACACAATTTCCTATCAAATGATTTCTTTTAAGACTCAAGTGTCCGTTATGACTAGTGGGCACGGCATTGGCTATTATTTGTTCATTACTATTATTTTTATTTTATTCACATTCAACCGTCACTGCACCGGTGTTAGCGTTGTGTCACAAAGTCTGTCAACGCTTTTTAGCACCGATAAGCTGAGTAGATAATTTATTTTTCGCGTTCAATACAGGATCGTTATAATACGGGTAGTTTGGTTGTTGACTTTCTTTTAATTTGATTACTTATATTGTGACAACTTTCCCTGTATAATATTGTCGAGTTGCTCGATTTCGTTTTTACCCTAAGGGTATTGGCGGTGCAGCGGCTCACTACTTTTTCTTTTTTTTCTACTGCATCGTGTATCTATATAATAATATATACGTCCATACGTCATCCGGTCGGTACGAATGACTAATTTATACCCTACAGAAGCTAGTCTGGAGAAAATTCCGCCAGGCTTGTTAAAACAAAACGTATAGCACCGATTTATCGACTCACAATTATTATCATTGCCCGTGACTGTTTAATTCATACACTTATATAACGAGCACCCGCTTTTACCCGTCCCGGGTAGAGTTAGATAAACTATTAAGTCTAACATTTATTACATTGTACGATTAACCGCAAAACAAAATTAGATGGAATTTAACTAATCATAACTATTTATATATCATTTTTTTAATGGCGTTCATACTTGTTTTTCAGGATGGCAGAGATGTGACATAACGTTAACCATTTGATTTACGTCCACATATTATGATGTAAGTTGATAAAATGTATAATTAAACGCAAAATGTTGAACTTAAATGTGATTATATTTAGTTTCGTTGGCGGTTATAACCTTTGATATAAACGGCAAACTGAATGGTAATTGCGAGGCATTTTCATTTTATTTTGTTTGGTAACAGAGTTTAAGCCAGAAGCATGCCTACCTGGAAATTCGCCAAAAATTACCAGAATAAAAATGCGAAAAAAATAACTGTAATAATTGTATTACAATCTTTTATTTTGAATTGTTTTAATAATTAGCCAAGTCAATAAATAATTAACAAATAAATAAGGGGGAAATGTTAAATAAATTAATACGTGCTCAACTATTATCAACTTGAGAGCTTTTATCTTCCCATGAATAAATAAAAAAAGTTATTATATTTGCTATAGTCAGCCAATTTAGAGCTGTTGGTCGTTTATGCAGAATGAACCCCGTCGTATTTTTGTCAATAACGCATCACACATAGAATAATGAAACCGAGAGCAATATTGTAATTTTCGTAGGAAAAAAAGTGTGTATGTAAAGTTATGTATACATTTAACACATGCAGTAATCAGTGGATAACATATAGTACATATTTATTGTTGAAACCTGTTCACAAGTGGCGGCGACAGATCTCGACAAATAATCACCACAGAGGAAGCGTACCACTACTAAAATAATAATAATATAGGTTTCATATGAAAAAGTATCTTATTGTATCCAATTAAATTATCAAATTCACTAATTTCGATTTTCGAGCAATAATTTTATCGATAATAGTTGATATTTGTCGTGGGTAATTATGTAAAAAAATAATGATTTACAAACGTTAAAGTGTTGTTCTCGTTTAGGACTGAACGGTGAAACACATGTGTGTTATTATATCTCATTATCTTATTATATATTATTAAATTTAGTCAAAATGTTTTACTGAAATATTTGTATTGTAATGAGTTACCATCAAATTTTATAGTGTTTGTTTTTCTTTATAAATTAATACTGGACATACAAAACAGCAAAATGGATTATAGATATTGTAACTAATATAAAGTCTGTCGCTGTATGTATTTTATATAGACTGTTGTAAACGTGTTACTTATTTGAATCGATGTTTTGTTTTTGTTATTATGATCTTTAAAAGTAATTTTTTTTTTTAAAAACGCTAAAATAATAACTTTGGAACATTTTTTATATAAAATAATAATAAAATGACGTTAACATAAAAAGAAAATGGCTTGGAATTCGGTATAACGTTTAAGGTAACCCGTAAAACGTTATAAATATTAATTTTATTATGATGGAATTATACATTTTGAATGTATCAACAACAAAAAATGAGCGATCGATTATATTTAAAATAACAAGGGTATATTTTATTTTTTATTTCTATTGGCTATTTTATATATATATATAATGTTATTGTATCTATACAAATAGTAGATATGTTTAAAACGACATTATTTTCAATTATATTTCATTTTTATTCATCGTAGTCTTTATTCTCTTACCTTCAATGTCGTTTTATATTTTGCTTTCATTTTTTTACTGAAAATTTTCCAAGGTTATTTGGGATAAACATATTTTGTCATTTTCTATAAAAATTTCATTTGGAAGAAATGTTTAAAATGTTTTTCTGATTTATCCCATGAACACTATGCGTCTGCGCTGTGCGCGTATTAATTAAGAGTATTGTTGTTAAACATTATACACTAATTTGACCTTGATCATATTTGTGTTATCTGATTAATATCTTAACGACAGCGCACAATTCTACTATTATGTGATTTATCAAAATGCTTCTTTATAAACGTTATTTATAAAAAAAATATCTTAATAACCCCATTAGAAAGTCCATATTAAACATAATAATAATAATAATTACATTTTTATATGGAGACGTACATATCAATAACATAACAAATTGAGGTAATATATGCTATGCTAGTGTTTTAATGTTTTATTTTCATTACAAATGTGTTTTATATTAAACTGAATAACATACGCCTTATTAAATTAACAGTTAATATATTTTTTTAAATATCCACAATAATATATACTATCTATTAGCACGATCACAATCTAAAGTGCCCTTATTTTTAATTAGATACGTACATATTTTACGATTTCATTTTCATTTTTAACGCCCTCAGGCCCTCTCCTACCCAAATAAGTAAAGCTTATATATTATGGAAAGGCCAGACCCCCTCGAATGTTATTTTATTGCTATAATTATTTTACAAAAATATCTGACAATTTTTCTAGTACGAATATTAGTTGGAAAATTTTACTCGAAATAATGGTATTGATTTAAGTTACATTTTAAATTTCTAACTCTTACGTCCAAGTAAATATATTTTATAGAGTTGATAAAATGTATTATAACTATAAAATAGTTATTGTTATGTTAATGGGTGTGTAGTTTTAAGGGGTAAAATCCAGGCAATATTTGAGCCATCAAAAGCAAAAGAGGTGTAAGTCATAAGAGTTAAAAGTTGAGAAACGAAAGGATAAAGTAGAAATACTGTATAGGTACGTTTTTACTTTTTACGAGAACGTATAAGTTCTCCTGCCATCTAGCGGAAAACAAGCAAAGCAGCGCATAAACCACTTTCGCATGCAACAAATTGAAGGTGTTACTTTAGATTTTTTGAATTTACATCACTTTTGTTCTTAATGGCATTCGTCGTGGGAGATTTGATTTGAGGTAATAAGTTTATAAATAAATGTATTTCTTAATTTTTCCATTATTTTCCTGCAATTCTTTAGAAGAACTTTTTTCCGTATAGAATACTTTACAGTTTTATAGTATACCTACTTAAAACTTTTCTGGAGCTTGTTAATGTGCATCTAGGTAATTTTTTTAAAAAGTTAGATTATGCCATTGAGATTAAGGAATCTATAAGTAATTATTATTAATATTGACCTAATAATTGTATGATCAAATCATAAACAAGACTAGTGTGACGATCAATTCGTTTTGAACTGAGTATTTCCATTTCTTATATAATAATAAAATTATTTAGTGTGCAAGTTGGTTATTATTAGTAAATCACCCTGTGTATGTATAATAATATTCTCTACCTTATTACATAATAATAGTAAATTATACATGGACATTTATTTTTATGCACCTAAAAACTTGTTTTCACTTTGACATAAAAAAAAGTATTATTTTTAAAATTGATAATAAAACATATTTTATTCTCGACAGTATATTGAATAACAAAACCAACAGCAGTCACTCGTCCGTTACGTTTTTTTGTACACTGCACTAATCATGATAAATATTTTTCATAATAAAATCTCATGTTACAAGGATTGTTCGAGGCCTACATAATACCTATAGTTACCTGCTCTTGGTCGAGTTACATTTTTAAAAAATATTTTATTATTCTTAAATTAAAATAATCTTAGACGGATCCGTAAATTATTTCCAACGGGACACAGACCAGTTTTTATGGCGGATTACGTACCATTCGCAGTCACAATATGACTACAAGACTATGTTAATGTGACTATGTCAATTATATGACTATATAATGTTTATTATGTTATAGTATAACGTACAAAAATGTATATAAAATTAACCCAGACTTGAGTATTAAAAGTACGGTACACTTAAAAAAAATGACCTTTTTTTTGAACCTAACATGTGTAAATTCTGAAAACATTCACAATGGCTAAGACGTACTGTAAAGTGTAAGCTGAAATATAGAAGATAATAGGTACACCCATTATATTGTTAGCTCATGCTGAAAATTATGTTCGTAAGAATTCAGTAATAAGAACTACACGAAACGACGTGACTATTATGACCACACTGCAGTGTTTAAAAGTATAGAATAATATAAAGAAATATAAGCAAAAAAGATTGTTGTAAACAAAAACGCGTCGTCCATTATTTCATTTATCAATGATTATAAATAAACTATATATTTCAGAGATCAGTATCACCGTTACAAAAATATCAATGTGCATCAAACATATTTCATCATTAGATATATAAAAAATATTATAATCGATTTTACAAATTATTGATACATATTGACATATTGCCATTTTGATTTATGAAAGTTTAAGTTAAAACTAATTTAAAAAATGTCTGTGGAGTAGATAGGTAAGTGTAAATTTTTAGCTAATAATATCCTAAAACGCCTTAAGCTATTTTATTTTATTTAAAAAAATATTTTTAATACAAAAATTAAATAGATGTAACTACTTATTAAGTTTATCCAAATATCAAATAATATTTTATATATTAATATTATATTTTTTCACTTAAAATATATTTATTTATAAAAAAAAGTAAAACAAAGCCGGCGCAAAGCATAGGATTGTTTATGGCGGCATTTTTTTACTAATGGAACATTTTTATAATTTACAACTGAAAAAGTGGGGAAATTATAGTTAGCCTAGTTTAAAATATTATCTGGCGCTGGCTAACGTAACCTGTAGTGAACTAATGTTACAATTCTTTTAATTACAATAAAGCATATAGGTGCATTTGTGATGAAAATAGGGTTAGAGAAACGTAAACCCTTTTACAACTTATTTAAATTTTTCATAACTTCAGTGTCAATTTTTTTAGTGAAGCTTTTGCAAAATTTCTAATTTGATTTTTTAAGAGGAGCGTTGGAAATGCCTTGAGCTTAAAGCGAATGACAACACTAAAAATTGTTTAAAAATGTACTATTACATTTTGCATGTATTAGTTAGACTGCTGATTAATCCAAAAATTATTAGAGGTAAAACGCTTTCATATCACTGATACGAGTGATTGTATCAATAATTATCAGTTTAACATCATAAACGATCTACTATAAACAGATGTTATTGACAATTTGTTTAATATTTTTTATTAATATTAGTTATAGGATATGTAATATAATTGCCTGTTGTTTCAAGTAACAACATAGCTGATAGGTATAAATATTATGATCAGTTTTTTATGTATTTTATATCAACACCTTATCTACTTTGCTCTGTCGGATATCATAAAACGCCTATTGCACATAAAATAGTATAATAATGTGTCGGAGTTTACACAATATGTATACTGATATTAAATTAAAAAAAAAAAATAGTGATATGATCGCCGCTTACATAATTAAAATAAAGAATTAATTACAGTGATTTTCGGAAAACCGCTTGGTAGAATGAGTGTGATACAAATTGTTCTTTTTTTGTCAGTCAGGTTGATATTTGTCTTTGTTGTTGTTGTTTTTCTCTGATCGTGACGAAACTGCTAGACAGAACTTGAGTGTTGCCGTTTGTTTTCTTTTGTTTTCCGCTATAAGGTGAGGCTATACGGTTGAATTTCTTATTTCACCGAACCCATTGAGCGTGTAATAGACCAAACGTGGAAAACGTTGGATCTACGATATGGATGACGGTAAATCATTCGATTGTGAAGGTTTATTAAACGTGTCGTACCTTTATAATAGATACCTACTATATAATATTATATTATACGGACCACTAGAAGGAGGGGACCCGTGTTACTCTCAAACCATGTAAGGTTGCATTAAAGACAGCGGCAGCGCGAGCAAAGATGTTGCGCTCATTAATTCGCGGTCTGCCATACGGTTATGTCACTGCCACCGATACTATACCCGTATAATGATATGTTAAGTGTATATAATAGTCTATAAACACCATATAGTTAATATTGTTTTTTTTTTTTTGTATAGCTCAACATGCTTTCGCTCTTATCCGTCAGACTTACGTGTAAGTAATAATTGTAATAGTAAAAATACTAATAATAGTCAATACTTAATCGATTCGTCGTCGGGCCAACGACTCCAGAATAATATTATCATCGACATCGACGGGGGAATGGACCAGCGGTTTTGTTGCAAATCTATATTGAAAAGAAAATCGTTCGACCACGGTCCATCGGCGGCAGAGGTGGCGACGGACGCCGACGATGTGGTCGGCTCCAAGTCGGAAAATCACGGTCACCAACCCGCCGGCAAACAGTGTTCGCTGATGCCTTTCAGCTTCAAGTCGTGCCGGCAAGGCATATTGAAAAAGCATTCGGCCAGTTTCGACGACGACTCATCCCAGAAGCCCATATTGAAAAACCGTTGTCAATCGTGCCACGACGACGCCACCTCTTCGCTCAACTGCAACGAACTGCACTCCATACTGAAGAGGAAAACAAGCGAACAGAACGACTACGGGTCGGCCGAACCACATAGTATACTAAAGAAACGCGAACCGGCAGCCGGTGCCGGGGTGGTGGAACAGCCTCCGTCGGCTGCGGACGACGACATCCGGCCGATTTTAAAACAAAAAAAACCGTCGGAACAGGCTGATCCTGGGGCCGCCACGGAAGCGGACGACATAAACGGATACCCTAAGCCTATTTTAAAAAAAAAGTCTATAGACGCCACGTCTTTGCCTCCGTCAGAATTGTTGGACGCCAAGAACCTGCCGGCCATTTTGAAACCGTCGGCCAACGGTAGCGGCAGCAGAATGACCATCAAACGATTATCAGTAGCTGAACGCATTTCCAATCTTGAGTCGATCACCCGAGGGGACTGGGCGGGTGGTAGTGCGGTGTACAAGAAACCAGTCAAGGAAAACGCGCGCACAAACCGGGACCGTTCCAGGTTTCACACGCAACCCGTCACTCCCGATGAACTCAGAGCCGTCGTTAAAAAGTACGTACTATATTTTTCAATTATCAATGACCATATATATATATGGTTTTAAAGCCTTGTTTTCGAGTGTCTAAATCATTCTTGATAATGTTGCAGGACGAACCCTGTGCGTGTAGAGGAGAATGGAAACTTTAGCGGCAGTCCGTCGTTGGACAAGACGCCGCCGTCGGCCAACCGTCTTTCGTCGCTCGAACGGCGCGAGATAGCCCCTAAGATAGATGATGGTGGCAGCGGCACTTTGTCGACGTGTATGGCCAATGAATCCGGCGTGCGGACGACCTTGAGGCGCACCAAAAGCGTTTCGGCGAAAACGCGCGAATTCCAGTGCTTGTTCGATAAGAAGTCGACGGCGGCGGTGGCGACCAACAACAACAACGTAAACAACAACATTATTATAGCGTCATCGCCGCCGCCGGCTGCTACCGTCGCTGCCGTACAGGTTGAAGGCGGTCGTATTAACGTTACAGGTACGTTGATAATCCACCTAATGTGTTTGTAATATAATTATGCGTTCACATAACTGTTTATCTGTCAACGATAACGTCCGTGATTTTTTTTATGATTTTATAATTTTTGTATTGTATGGAGAAAGAATAACCTTCTATGGGTGTCGATAAAAAAAAAAATTATGTCCGTTATCAGTCGGCACGTTTTGTTACGAAATGTTTGTACGACGACTCGTAGATCACATTCGATTGAATTTCCTCATTAAACGACTACATTACTCATTAAAACTTACAAGTGGTGACAGAATTTAGATCTCTTTAGGATATGGACTATAGTCTTTACGAAATTACCTGATTAGATATGGGAATAATGTTTCAACATGAACTGACCTTTTATTGTAGAAGTAATAAATATTATAGGTAAATCTACTACTTTTTAGCCCCTTTTTTGTTATTTGACATTCTCAAAAGTCCAATTTTTTTTTAGCGAACCTGATATTTCTAGAAGTTGACTTTGGTGTAAATTCTTTTATGATGTATCAGATGCGATGGTCCCGTAAATGTGTTGTTTAATTCGATTTTGAGAAAGTTGTATGCCAACAAGCAGCTTTTTTAAATGTTTAGATAATTATTATGCTAGTAAACTAAAAAGTTATAACTTCAATTACTTCAGTAACTGAACCGAATACCATTATAAACTTGAACACAATGTAACAATTAATAACCGTAGGAGGGGGAGCTACAATTTGATGATAAAAATATTATTTTAAAATTAGTGACCAACATTTCAAGTGTCTGAATCTGTTTTCTATAACTATATTTTATTATTATTATGCAGTTTTCTGTTGTATAAAACAATTGTTTTTAATAAATTACATATAAGACAAATTTAATACGAAAAAAACTATAAATATAATCTACATAAAAATATAAACATTGTCATGGTAAATTGATGAAACAATATCTAGAAAATAACTTAAAAATTAAAGCTATATTTTTATTGACTATTGTGTACACATTTATTGCCTTAAAATATAGGAACAACTTTTTTAAGTATTGTATGTTGAATAATTGTCATTTTTTTAATTTTTACTATTTATAATAACCAACCGGTTATAGTTCACCTTGAAATTGGGAGCCGACGTGCTTCGGCATAAACAAAAATAACTTTAAATATCTAATTATTATAGACTTGAACTTGTGATAAACTGACTTGATGGTTTTTTAAACAAAACAGCTGTAGTTTTTTTCGGTGGGAGTCGGAGTTCACTTGGTTTCCGGCAATGGAGTTCATTGTGATCGAGCCTGTACTCGGCCTGCGTTTCAGTACTGGCCGGATAGACTTAAATAAACGCTGTCTAATTAAAATGTACACTATCGAAAACGATAATTGCTCTATTGCGGCGGCCTTTGTTTGCGTAACAAATCGCCTCCGATAATATCCCAATTAAAAGCACAAATCGCCGTTTACACGACATAATACCAACAACAATAACACACACCGCACACGTTTTAAATAATTTTGTATTCGGACGCATTCGGTATAATAGACATGTGTAAAATGTCTGTATCGCTTCAAACCGTCGCGTTATAGAAATCCGATACACACTGGCGTTCATTTTCAATTTTTTGTACAATTAAATGTTGTCATTAGCGTTATGTGTTTTTAAAAAAACACGCGAATTTTAACTCTGTATAAATATAGCTCGAGTGAGATCGTCGAAATTCAAACAGTGCCAAGAAAAGAAACCGAACGCGAATGGTGCGGTTTGTGCCAATCGCTATTCCACTCAGCCAGTAACCGACCACGAACTACAAGAGGCGAAAAATCTCAACGCCGCAAAAAACGGCGACAAAAATGAAGACAACAACGGTACGTGATCACATTTGTATTGTTTCGACTAATTGGTAGTTTTGTTATTATGTAAATAACGCGAACGATTACGGTTTGTATACGATTTTCTGCTTATACAAACATAATATACCCATTGATATTTGATAATATGATAATAATATAACTGTTCGCCCAGTTTTCACCGAGTCCATCACCTGTTCCCAACAGATTAACATTTATAATAATGTTTAGTATGAACAACTGTTGTCTGCTTATTGAAATATAGTATTTTAGTCGGGTTGAACGGTTCTTCGCTACCTCTTTTTACCCCTGGTCTAGTTCAATAATTCAGGTTAATACTAAAATAAAAATGTAAATAAAAAATAAAAAATCCCATTAACAAAATATTATAAAGTAGTTAAATTTATCCGTTAATGTTCTATAAAAATAACACAAGGCCGTTTTGAAGGCTGTGTGAGCCACTCCCAACTACAAACTAACGTTGCAATTCAGAATTTGTATAATTTCTTATCCATATATATATATTATAGATGTAAAATAAATATGCTAGAAGTAACGGGAATGTATTTTAGTAATTAGACAATTGAACAGATTAATATTAATTAAACTGACAATTTAAGGTCCAGTGTTTAAATTTGCTGCCCTAATGTTGATCAGATTTGTATCGTAAGATATATTTATGCACAGCAATAATTTTTTTGCTAGTGTGTTAATCATAACCATTAAATGCAAATTAATAACGTATACTTGCCCACAATTTGGTTGTACTACCCTGAAAGAACATAACTGTAACAAAACAAAATTTTAGTAGATTAGTGTAACTTTATGGGGGCTTATTCAGCCACTATTTTGTCGTAGTACTCGGTGAAACTGGTTGATAACATTGTGTAGTTAAGTTATCTATAGTGTAGTCATAGTTGCACTAAGTGTGTTTTTAGTTTGCAACGAAGCTTCTGCAGTATAAATATTCATTTCTATGACGATAATAATGGCTATGATTAAACAAAAAAAATAAGTCAAAACAACCACATACCGCCGATGGAGTTTTTCGACAGCTCTGTGTCCGATTTTCCATTTATTGATGATAATGGTACTCTCTTATAAGCCATTCCGCTTAACTGTTCTATAACCTCTCGAACAGTCTTCTATCGAAAGTTACTGTTGGAGGGATTTTTGGGTCTGAACAGTCATCAAATACGGTCGTGTGTTCAAAAAGACACGAACATTTAAATCCAAAAATAGAAATTTTGGAAGACCAAAAAACTTCAATGTCTATGTATGCATTTTCCAACAATTGAGTAAAATTTATTAATTTTTTAAGTTAAATTTATTAATTTGTTGCTGATGGTATCATAAACAAGTTTTTTGTATATTAATTAGGTACATTTTGTATCTTTTAACGTCTATAAAATTTCCTGCAGAGTACCGAAATTAGTAATAATTGTCAGCTTTTTTTTAATGTAGAACACTTAGATCAAAAATATAAGTTGTAAATCAATTTGACACGTAAGTTGTAATCATCTAGACGTTTAGAACATTGACTTTAATATTACACATTATCCTTTGGATTTTTTTTGTTTTAGATTTAGATTTTCTTTATTAAAGCTAGAATCGTGCGTAATACTTTATTGTGTAGACTGTAGGCTATGGAACAGTTACATATTCTACCGTTTTTCGCCTCCGTCCGTCGTACTAACAACATATTATCCACTCTTTTTTTTTATTTCCTGTTTTTATGCTTATAAATAGAGTATGTTGACCTATTGCGAGGCACCGACTATCTGGAGTTGACACAATAACGTCGTGATATCACATAAACTTTTTTTAGAAATTGAAACTTTGAATAACTTCTTCGTTTTCTCCAAATAGCCAGCTGTTTTATTTATTTATTTTAAGTTCAAAAATATTATGATTAGCTCGTACGGCAGATGGTTTTTTTTATCTCGCGATGACGTTGCTCTCATTAATAATTATGTAAATTATAATCGTTTTAAGTCGGTGGCGCACGCGACAAGAAGGAGTTAAAAAGGTCTTACCCGTCCTCCAAAATGTTTGCCGCTTAAGCCATTTTTTTAAAAAAATATTTAAAAATCTGGTTTTATATATTTCGATATTATGTGTATCAATATTACAAATATTTTATAATATATATTATATTTTTATTAGGGTGAGGGCTTCCTGCCCAGAAAAAAATGCTGTGTAATTTCACACTATTTACATGCATATACAAATTATAATGCAGTATAGTTAACTATAATTTAGTATCGTAGTTATCTATAATTTATACGAGTAGGCAGTAGAGACCAAAGAATACCTTCGTCGTTAGTGTTTTCATAGATTAGAATTACATATATTTCAATAATAATAATAATAATAATAATAATATATTCCACCTCAAAATATATTTTTCTCGAAAAAGTATTGCTAATTTGTTTATTATAAAAAAACGGTACCTATGCTATTATTATTATGCTATTTTCGGATGTAGTATACTTATATAATTTTTGGATTCTTTAACCTATGCTTGAACAGCCATAATATTATGTAGAATTATAATTAATAATGTAACATAGCAGCCAGTATAATATAGTAATTTTACAATAACGTAGTGTCTAACATAATTTTAATTATTTTGCTTTTGCATGTGTTTTTGGTGATTGTGTTTGCTTAAAATGTAAAAGGAAGATTGCCAAAGAAGAAATTAGGAAGCCTTGTAATGGAACGGCTTCGTATATTCAACGGTAACGGTATCTTATATATAGACAAAAACATTTTTTTATTAACCACTCTTGATAAACTTTTCTAGATTTATTACGCTCGGCCACTTCCGTTGTGTCCTCAAATATAAATTCTGTACTTTGGGTCTCAAAATTATTAGTTTAGTCAATGAGCTGGAATTGGTAATGACTAATAAGCATAACTTTTTGAATTGTAAACAAAAAAGTGTTTTTTTTTTTTTTTTTTAACAAAGATTAAAAACGTATAAGTTTTTACTGGGTTTGACTAAAAAATAATATATTTAGCCTTTATACCCACAGTACAGATTTATTATGTTATTGATTTTTTGTAACTAATTTGTGTGTTTATTGCAAAATAAGGTAATACGTGTACGTTCGACGCCGATGTAGCAATAAACGGTATTAGCACAGCGAGATCACCGAACAAAATGGCCGAGACTTCGAGTAAAACCGAAACAATAGATACCACCGAACGACTGAAGAACGATTCGAAAACGATTCCTGAAATAAAAATCCAAACAGCAAAACCGTCCAAAGAGCCTGTTGCCGATAACGAGCGCAACAAGAGCCGCATTTCCCGGAATGTCGCCATCAACCGATCGTTCAACACCAATTCCAAGTTGGAATTAATGAGGTATCTACCTATTTAATAATAGAATAGTCGATCGATGAACCGCTAAATTTATAGTATGACTATAAGCCAATCGCATTGTTAAAAGTGACGGTGGTCGCTGACAAATCTTCATTGAAAGGAGTAATAAAGTCAACAATTTAGTAGATTCTCTTGCGCGTGCGGTGCGATGTGGCTTTTAGAGAATCCGAAAATCCGGATTTTTAAAAAAATAAACACTATTAAAGCCACTTAAATTATGTTAAATATCATTACAATATAAAGCTGTGTATCCAATTAAAAAGTTTTAATGAAATTTAAAAAAAAACGCTTTACTTTGACTAAATTGCATTGGAATTCCGGATTTTCGCACTTCAAAAAGTTTGAAATCCAAAAGCAAATTATCTTTATGGTGTTTTATTTTTACATATTTATAAAAAATATTTTACATAGGTATACAACTTTATATTGTAAAAATATTTAAGTCTTATATGTGGCTTAAATAGGTTTTTTTTGTGAAAATCCGGATTTTCGGATTCCCATTAAATAGTAGCAATATCGGTTGACTTACCATCCGTGTGGTTTTTTCCAGGCAACACAAATTTGGGACCAAAAGCAAAGAAAACGATGACTGTCCAAACTTAAAAAAACGCGTTGAGCCGTCCAACGATGCCCCCGACGGTACTGCGGTCATTAAAGGAGCTGGTGGATCAATCAAAGATCGATTGGCGGCTCTGAAGAAAAGCGGCCAAGCGGACTGGCAAAAAAGAATATCGAAAATAAAACCGGAAACTCACGAGTTGTTGAACAACTCGATCAACGTACGAATTAACAGAACCTAAAGTCTATTGAGCGACTAAAAATAGCTTCTTTCTTTCCATTTCTACCGACAGGATCAGTCACTTAATCCATAATCGCCACCGAATAGTTTTCCAAAACCTTCGAACCCACTACTCAGCCGCCAACCTTTATAGCATTTCTTATCTATGACAATCTTTTTGTTTTTCATCAATCTTAACTTTCTGTTGCCGTGCATCGCCATTACAAGTTACAACTCTTTTTCGATTTTCTTAAAAACACGCCCAAACCATCTTCCGTATATTCATTATTATGAGTTCACTAAATCCCTATATGACTATAGCTGCTATGCAGATTCGAAATATCCCCTAAAATTCAACAAGTATGTTTTTGCATTTGTCTGCATCTAGATTACATTTTAATGACAATCGGGTATTTTTTTTTTCATTTTGATGGAATTTGTTTGATAACAAATCGGTTTTGAGGAAGTTATATGTTATTGATTTGGCAGCGGCTTTTACTTTTCTACAAATCCTTATTAATTAGATTTACATCGATTTTTAAATAAACAAATTTTTTTATTTTTTTTTTATCGTTCCTTTTTTTTATAGGCTACTCAAGATATATTGCGGAAACAGTTGACCAAGCAAGTGAAATCTACTGAAGAACCGGCAGAATGTATAGATAACATATTGGTCGACAGGCTAAACCAACTCGAAACATCTTCTAAAGATTGGAAAAAACGAGTTGAACAAAAGGACACCGCTAATTTTACGGTGGCCGGAAAAATGCAACAAAAATCTTTGCCACCCCTTGCCCCGGTTCTGGTAGCCGCCAATGAACGTTCCTCGTCTGACAGATTGTCGTCAAGTAATTATTTTTAATCACAACAGCTTATGCATAGAACTGTAATGTTTATGTTTGTCTTATTCCTGTAGACGTTGCCAAAAAGAAACTCGTAGAAGAATCCACCAAACTGTCAAACGTCCGACGGAGTCTCTCAATGTCTGACAACAAAACCAAATCCTACTTGAACAATAAATCTGAGAAAATACCATTGTTGAACGGTTCATCGTCTTACGAAAGTCACAAAGAGAAAACTGTCACCGTACCGGTAATGATAGATGATGAGTTTGACAAATTCTTTGGTAGTCCAAAACCAATTACGACCGATGCTCCAATGGGAGATGTGGATTTTGATCATTTGAAGTCATCACGATCCACCATGTATGGGTTATTTTTAATGTCAGTAAAACAATTTGATGATAAATTATGTTTATTTATTTTGTAGGCTTGTCCAACACAAGAAAGTTAGAGTTCAACACAGAAAACACGAAGGGTCGAAAAACCCACTAAAAGCGTTAGCGACAAACCAAGATTTAGCACAACAGCAATACACTGAAAACAAAACTAATGTGGTTTTGCAACGTCATTTGGAACACTGTAATACTTTTTTTTTTTTTTTAACCATAATACTCTTGATGTTGAAATTTTATTTAAATGTATAGCAACTATTAAGGCGCCTTTGGCTCGAGAAGCTCTCGCAGCCTTAGCCAGTAAAGAGGACTTTGCTTCAGTAAACTTACGTAAATCTGCGGATTCGTCACCATCATTGTTACCGCCATACAAAGATTTAATGTTATTACACATTAAAGGCCGGAGGCGAGTACAAACTCGTCTCGTACCACCGATAGCCGACTCTGTTAATCAAGGCGATTCCTATGTACTGGTCACATCTTCTCAGGTTTGATTTTTAATTACAATAAAATTTATTAAATTAATGGTTAAGCACCATCCATACTTTAAAAAAATCAAATGTTTTTTATGTAAATTATTGCTTATGTACTCTGATAATAAATATTTATATAATATTATTGTTTGTGTAGATTTATGTGTGGATTGGAGAATTTTCTAATGTGATTGAGCGATCGCATACTGCTAAAATTGCTCAAAGTATTTTGGATAAAAAAGATTTAGGTTGTAAAGGAGCCACCCAGGTTATTATGATTAATTGTGATTCATCGTTACCCAACAGTCAACAAGAGAAAAAATTTTGGACTCTTTTGGGTGTAACGTCTAATGAAGCGTCTTCTATGAAAGGTAAAATATACTAATTTGTTTATTATTTTTCTCAATTTTAACACATAAATATATTATTATTAGGCCAAAGAGCGGGGCACCCAGATGAGGATGAATTATACGAGGCTGCCATTGTTTCGACAAATGTCATATATGAAGTTGTGGGCGAAGAGCTTGTTTTATTGCCAGAAATATCAGAAACTATGCCTAAAATTGAAATTTTAGACCCTTCTAAAGTGTGTAATATGCTTTCAATGTTATTAATTTTATAATAACACGGTGTTTCTGTTGAATTTAGACATTGGTATTTGATTTTGGTAGTGAACTTTATGTTTGGTATGGCAAAAACGTGAATGTCACCAAACGCAGACCAGCCATCCGTTTGGCCCGCCAGTTGTTTGATGACAGTTACGATTATTCCCAATATGATATTAGTCCAATCGATGTAGCCACATGTTTGGGTGATAGGAGTAAATAAATATATTAATACTACATTTAAATCAGTTATGAACTGGCTTATATTTTATTGTAATATGTTTAGATAAAGATAGTGTATATGTAAAAGCTGGAAAAAAGCGACCCGAGTGGACATTGTTTGCCAAGTTAACACAACATATGGAAACAATATTATTCCGTGAGAAATTTGTGGACTGGCCAGACTATAGCCGTGTTATAAAACTATCTAAAAAGAAAGACGACAAGGAAAATTCAAAACAAGATGACAAATGTGTAAGTCAAACAGTATCAATGTACTTATATATTATATATACTCACAAAATGTATTGTTTTTCAGATTGATTGGTCAACTGAAATCAATGCTTATAACGCAGCTGACATGATAGCAATGTCAATACAAGAACCAGATTTAATTTTAAGTGGTAGCCACCTTGGTCGAGGGTCTTCTTACTACGATAAAGATGTAATTATATTCGCTCACTAAGTTTAATTTCAATACATTTTTACATTGATATTGTGTTTTAGACGCTAAGGGAATTTGTTGTAAACACTGTTAGCGTAACAGTTTGGCATGTTCAAGAATTTGACAGCACCGAGCTGGAGAAAAAGTCTATAGGACAATTTCATAGTGGCGATTCTTACATTATACGATGGATATACAATGTATCAATTCAAGGTATTCATTTTGATATCATAAATTAAAAATAATTTTATTATGTAAGTTTTCATCTCAGGAAGAGAATTAAGTGGCTTACCCTCGCGGCGAATGGTTTCGTCTGGCAGAAATCGTTGTGCGTATTGGTATTGGCATGGACGTAATGCTACACAAAATGATCAAGGAGCAGCCGCTCTATTGACCATACAACTAGATACCGAACAAGGGCCACAAGTAAGAATTGATCAAGGACATGAACCACCAGCGTTTTGGAATTTGTTCAAAGGGATGGCAATTGTATATCGAGGGAAACGTAATCAGACTCCAAGTAATTATATGTCTATTATAATGCGTAATAATGTGTGTATTTTAGTACTAATTTATTCTACTTAAGGCATTTGGCGATTATTTATGGTTCATGGTGCTAACGATGATGAGGTGCATTTAACTGAAGTGCAATGTTCAACAACACAACTACGCAGTCAAACGTCTTTCATTTTACTTAATTCTAAAAATGGACTTGTTTACATTTGGCATGGAAAAGGATCATCGGAAGAAATACAATCGGTAAAAGTTTTTCTTAGTATTTTAGACAATTTTGTTTTTTTTTTTCATTGCCCTCGATTCTAAAGGCTAATTTGTTGCGATGACCCTATGGTCTTTAGTAACACTTTTCACTTTGTGTTTGTTAGTACACTACTACCAATTTCCGTTAAGTTGGAAGACACGGGGGGTGGGGGGGAGAGGTAGAGTGTAATTGATCGACCACACTGTAGTCTTGGAATACCGGGGGTAATTTTTGTATGGTGTCGAACCAAAGACAGTTCGCGTCATAGCCAGCAGCAGCTACATAACCACTCACCATTGTGTAACACTGACTCATACTATAAAATTATAAATAAATATTTGGCAGATGTGGTGATAAGTATATTAATTAATAGTTTTTTATTTGATTTGAATCATTTATTACCATTTTATATGATAAATAAAGTACTTAAGTCTAGTGTTAAGTATAATTTATTTTCTAGGGGCTTTGGTGTTATATACAGTATAATGTACTGATTCATAAACATTTGTAATGCCTATTAAATAGTATATCGTTTGAACGCTATTAAACTTGAAGAAATTCTATTCTAGTTTATATTTCAAAGCTTTTAATTTTTGTTGGCACTTTAAAACGGATTTGAATTATGTAAATTTTTTTAGCTTTCTAAAAAAACTGTCAAACGTTTATTTGAGGTTGACCGAACAGAATTAGGATTAGGGGAAATCGTAGAAATCCAGGATGCTAAATCTATTTATGAATCAAAGGAACCAATAGAATTTTTCCAAGGTAAATCATTTAATCAAGTATTTAATATAAACATTAGTTGGACAGTTGTACATTACTTATTTTTTAAATAAAATGAATTTTTATTTTTTATATAGCTCTAGGTTCCAAAACCGCCCGTCATTACAAATCTCAGGCTTCGAGGTTGGGTGAAATGAAATTGTTTCAGTTTTCATCTGTTCTTGGTCAATTCAAAGCGACTTTAGTCAATAGTGCTTATGTTCCATCACCCTATCCATACCTTCAAGACCATCTATACAATGCTAGTCAACCAGGTATCATATCCATATGGTACATATGTTTTAATGATTTATTTGAATAAACAATTTTTTTATAGCACTATTCATGCTGGACACTGGAGAAGAATTGTGGGTGTGGCAAGGATGGTGGCCAGAAATTGTAGTAGAAGATGCTTCTGATGTGGAGTTAAACAACCACCGCGGCTCATCGTTTACCCGTTTACAAGCTGAAAGACGAGCTGCTATGCAGACGGCTCTTGACTACTGGCACCAGAAATATAATGCTGATGACACACCTAAAGTTTATTTGGTATGGGCTGGGCTCGAGCCACTTCAGTTCACCAATTGTTTCCCAGAATGGAATAATAGAGATGATATTGCCGAGATCAATATGAAGGTATATAATAGTTGAATTATACTAACAAGTATTGAATTATAAACTTCGTTAATTTTTATTTTTAGGATCACAAACCTGGTGAGACAGTAACTGTTGAAGAAGAACTTGCACGGCTCACTCAAGAAACTTATCCTGCGGCACAATTGCTACAAAGACCTCTGCCAGATGGTGTTGATCCAACTAGGCTAGAATTGTACTTATCGCCAGCCTCCTTTAAAGTATGTCCAACGTCTACCAAGTTATGGATTTTTTTTATAAGTTATGCTTTTTTTTATAGGGTTTATTAGACATGAACAAAAGCGAATTCCTCCAACTTCCAAAATGGAAGCGTACTAAAATCAAACAATCAGTTGGCCTGTTCTAGAAACAACAATCCGAATTACGCAAACATTTAATTTGATACTATTGTTTTGATAATATTGGAGGTTTCTGTGAATTATAGATTTATATATATTTATTAAAAAAATGTATTGTGTGCAATCTTGTATTTTTCTACTGTGAATTTTTTAATTTATACATTTATAGATACAATATATTTTTTTTTTATACTCTTCGAGATGTAACAAGTTACTAAAACAAGATAAACATTATTTATACATATTTTTCTTAATGTTTAGTTTTTCTGACATATTTTTTAATAACTTGTAACACTTTTTGTATAACATATTTTCAAATATGAGTTTTGTGCGTTTTTTACTATATCCTATGTTTTTAATTTATTATTTAATTAGTTTTGTTTTTAGGCTGTGATTTTTTTTTGTAATAACAAACATATTTTTCGAGTAAAAATCTCAATATTTTGGTAATTTGCTGTGTTTAATTTTAACCTAAGACATAAGGTATTTTTATTTTATTTAACTTACAATTTTTTTACTCTTAGTAATTTATTTATGTAAATTCACTCTGTAATAATTACATTTTTACGTTCTAACTTTTTCAACATATTTTTATTTTACTTAATTACTTAATGGTGAAGTTAACTATGAATAAGTTTAAAAACAGCTATCCTATTACCAACAATAATTTTATTAATAGGAGTTTATAACTTAAAAATTAATTGCATTTAACAATTATCAATACTATAAAATATAAATATCTCAACATACATAAAAATATATAAATGCCGTATTTATTGATATTTTAAAATTTAATCGTTCTTGCTTGTAAATAATCAAACACCAAAAACATATCTCAAGGAACTTTAATTTTATTTTACAAAAAAAATTGTCCTTAAGAAAACACTACAATATGTTTGGTATTTCGACTTCGTAAAGTACAATGATGAGTACAAAACATTTTTTTACAAATCAAATTTGTAGCAAAATGTTTTGTTAGAACAGTAAAAAAAGATAATTATTTAAGCTGCGAGAAAATATTTAACAAATATTAAATTTTAATTATTGTAATTATAATAATAATAATAATCATGATATTAATTATAATGAAATGAGAAGTCGACTAGAATTTTTAACAAAATTTTGTGCCAAATATAACCTCTTTTATCGAATCAATATACTGAGCAGGAACCCAGTACACCCAATAACGAGATGCTTCTGTTGGACCCAACTGGAACCCCTAAGTGTAATAAAAAAATTTTAATAATATATTATAAGACCTCTTTTAAAGAATTTCATTATATTTACAGTTGATATTCTATAAAAGAACAGTTCATATTTGTACACTGCGGCCACCAAGAGAACGCTACTGCACAGAAACCAACACGCGTTACTCATCATATATGCACCTGCACATACAGTAGTACTGCACTTTGGGTTCTGCGCAGTAGCGTTCTCTCTGTGGCCACAGTATCAGGTGAATATTTACCATTATATGATACTCGGCATGCCCTTCAATTGGCTCACTAACAACTTGTTTAATAGTGTTCATAGCAATTTTTTGTGTTCGTTCTTTGGTACCTATCCATAGCTGATCTAATTCCAATTTGAATGTCAGTCTTACTTTTCCTCCATGCTTATTAAGCATGCCACTCAAGGGGTATGGAGGTAATGGATCCTGCAATAAAGACATCAGTCATATTAAAATGTTAGAACATAACAAGAGGCACACTGGATAAGATGTCACATTAAGTACTAGAGACATCAGAGTTGGATTCACAAGTTGAACAATCCAGTCTTTTCTTCGAAAACCTCGAATATGTAAACCCACATAAAATTATGAATTACAATTACTCCTCCACAGGTAACTGGTACTGAATGTTAATTATTCAATTTTGAATCAGAATTCTAATAACTTGAAATTGTGGTTGACATATAATATGAGAGAAGAAAGTCGGGTCGTTAAACGTTAGAACAATGGCCTCAGAAAACTAAAGACTCTAATTTGATTTCATCTCTGACTGCTAACTTTTACAGTATTTTCTGTCCTTAAATTTTGGAAGTTTATTACAGCCCCGAGTTTATACATATATATTTATAACATTTTATAACAGCTGACACCAGGCAAAAATGTGTATACTGATTAATAATTTATAAACATATTTAACTACATGCAAGATATTTTATAGTAATTAAGTTAAACTAAAATAGGTAATCAACAAATTGATTTTTCAAAATTATTTTAGTAAAGAAAGGACTAGATTATGTAAAAAAATACAAGTTGTTCATCAACAAACCTTAATATTTAAAATGCCAACCATAGCATCTTCTGGTATACCTCTTTCTAGTATTTTATAGTGTAACTTTTTCTTACATAGAGGCTCTTTAGTTGACGTACTTGCTTTGGCTGAACTCGAATCCTTAAGATATACAAATATTGTTTTTTTTAATAAATTACAAATATTTAAGAATGTATTATTTTTGTAAACATTTTAAACCTCCGTAGAAGCTGCAGACACAGCAGCAATATCTTGAAGTTTAGCTCCCACTACCATGATCTTAGAGGAGGAGTTGACATTTAATGATTCAAGGGTCTGCTCATCTTTTGCCAATCCCTTTATCATGATCTTCTGCATTACACTAGGCACATCAATAATTTCAACAAGCTTATCTTTGAGTTGTCTAATAGTAGCTGACTGTGATATGGGAACTGTGTATTTATCTTTGTTATGTATAATTGTCAGTTCTACTGTCGTCGCTTCAATAATATCCAAGTCGACATCTTTTTTTATTTCACATTCAACACCTAGTATTGGTTCTTCACAGGGTAAGTCATGAACATTTACTTTTTCTGAAAATGGGCAAACAAAGATATTCAAATAAAATCAGATAGAAATTAATACTTGTATGACTATACTATACTCATATTATCATACTTACCAGGTGATTCCATTGTTTAGTTAGGTACTACCTAATAATAAATATAGTTTTTGGAGAAATATTTCTGATTACTGGTATTCTTATGTATGTGCTACATTAGCTAGTTTTCTATCGGTAGCCGCTAATGTACTTTTGGATATTTGAAGATCGGTGGGATTCGAAAAAATAATACGATTTTTCTGAAGTAACAAACACTGAAATGTATTTATACACATTAACAATGATGAACAATGATATGAAGATATTGTAATATTGTATTATCATCTTCAACGACAGTCGTAAACGCTTATCAAATTAACTATCTACAATATATCAGTGCAGCAGTTTGGAAAGAATAATAATACAAAGTAATGTAATATAATATTGTATCCTTTGTACTCGTAGATACCTACCAGCTACATAAATCATAATACGTTATTTATACGATTTAATTTTCTTTAAGAAAAAATATATTTTTTTACTTAGCCCAATTATATACTATAAATATGTACTTGTTGTTTTTATTTTAACAAGCCATCCTACTGGGATAAACATAATCACTATTAGTAGACAGCTGATAACCTTTGACATCAATGTTTATGTGTGTATTATAAATTAATAATTAATACAGAATACTTAAGTTACCAGACCTATACTTATAAGTAAAAGTAGATAATATATTACCTTAATTAATTATTGATGCTGAATAATGGATACACAGTTACCTACAAGCTTCTAACAAGGTCCAAGATCCATTTCTTAACCTATTTATATTTCTTAAAAAAAAACATATTAATAGTTAATAATTATTGTCTTATAAATATAATTTTAACACATAATCGTTTTGAAGCGATTATAGGTACCTAATACGTTTAATTTATTTACGTTCTTTATATCTATATCTAAAGGTAGTCTATATTTGGCGAAGTCTTGTTTGTGTTAGTCATTACTAATAGAGAATACGAAGTTTTCAAAACATATTACACATATTGAAACACGACTATGAAATATTTGGATTTTGTTACCTAATTTTATTGTGAGTAAAAATGATAAATATAAGTAATCACTTCAGATTTTCATGATTTTAAAAACAAAATTTACTGTACCTATAAATTTAAGTGCAGGGGCGGCTCCAGGGGGAATTTTTTTAAATACGGCTAAAAGTTACAGTAATATTATGTATTTAAAGCACAAACTATTTAAAATAAAACAGCTACACAGGTTGATGGCATTTAGGGAGTGTAGTAGCAGGTTATATTATACACGCTCTTAAATTCCCTATGGCTAGTGGTCAGATGTCAGAACCGTTTAGGTTTCAGCTATATACCATGATGTTTTAAACACTAGAATTTAACTTTTCTCCGATGTTAAATTAGGCACATAATTAAATAATTTCGACGTTTTAGTGATAATCAAATGTAAAATACAATTGTAGTTATAATTAAGTAGGTTAAAAGTTAAATATAGTATTTACAACATTTTGAATAAGTATTCCGAAATTTGTTGGATCAGTGATAGTCATACTATTATTGAACTCTGACCAGTCGTACTGTTTTATATTATAATAAAATTGATCCTGATTACATTATAATACATCATACTGTTATTGGCGGAAGTGATGGTATGCATTTATTATAGTGAGGATAACATTATCGTTCTAGACCTAGTTATTAGACCTATATGAATGTTTCATGATATTGCATGTTGGTAAAATAGGTTGTTGCTGTTTAAAAATAATGATAAACTTAACCTATTTATATTTTGTACTGTTCTGTGCGTTTATGTGCGTAATTATTATAAACGGCGAGTGTTGGACTACGGGTTGTCAACTAAACACTTGGGCGGTTAGAGGCTGTGAACAGTATGGCATGGAAGAAGTGGGTCGAAAACTATGTAATAATGGACTAATGTATTCATGTTGTACTCCGACGGTAAAATATGAAGGTAAATTATAGATCTTTTAAACAGCGGTGGTTTCTGGTTAAGTGAATATAATATAGACATGGTGGTTTCACAGAAAAAACACCTATAAAATCCGAAACATTTAGACATGAATTAAAAGACGGTTGTATAAACAACCGTCTTTTAATACGGTTAGTATTAAGCTTTATTAAGCGAATTATTTTTCGAAAACAGCTCAAGTGGTTCATATAAGACCATCCTAGAGAGGAGGTTTTCTGATGGATTCGCTACCGGCACAGTTCTTCAGTCTGTCGTCGGAGAGTGGCATGTCGGCTCTTTTTTAGCTTATTATTTAATGTTGAAGAAGCAATTTTTTATTTTTTACATTTCGAAAAAATTATAAAATATTTCCTCAAAAGTGTCAATTTTTTTTTTTTAATTTAAAATAAGTGATTTTAAATTAAAATCACCATAGAACGAGTAAAATCCTGCGCACACATGTTTTTTATTCTTACTCTTTAAAACCTGAGGTATAACGTCCTCTTAAGAACTTTTTTGCACAAATATTGCGTTTATTCTGTCTACTATGTTATCAAAGACATGTTTAAATTAAATCATAATATGTACTTTATAGCCTGCCTAATACCGTGCTCAAGATTTAAGTTTTGTAACGACTCTTGTGTATACTTCGAAAATTATATAAAAACTGTTTTACATTTGAATTTAATAATAATTTATCTTGTAATTTTTGATTTAGGCCATGTGTGATCAAGTATTTTAAAATAATTTGGCGCCCATTTAGTTAGAAGATTTTTCAGTTATTCAAGAATCCCTTGTTTATTAGTTTCTTTGTTACCTTTAAGATAAGTGCAGTGGCAGCCTAGGTCATTTTCACTAATGGGGCACTAATGTTTTAGTCATCATTTTCCCACGGGCATTACAATACAGGGTGATCCAACTAACGTAAGACACTCATTTTCTCTGAAAGTATGAATATTTTGCGAATTTTTTTTCCCTAAAATTTTAGGTACATATTTAGCTACATTTTTCAATATTTAGAAAAATTTTATCTTCAACCCTTATACGTTAAATAAGTACGAACCTCGTTTTTTCAAATGGGAACATATGTTTTAAATTCCATAAATATAAAGACAAAAAATCTAAAAAAATGTTAGCGTTTGAATTTTTAATTTTCATCCATTTGTTCGCTGTTTATGACTTTGTAAAGATTTGAATTTTTGTCTATATTTCTTAATAATTTCATTCGATTCGACAAAGACAAGTAGTTTTATTACGACGGTCATCACATCAAATATAATAATAATTTGATGTTAACGCATTCCGTATCATAATCAGATATAATAAATAACCATACATTATTAGACGAAAGGTAGACTGTTACGGATAACGGACTTTACACTTTAACCTAATCTAGCTGGAGCTAGTCATTAGCTGGTTATCTCGGATAACAATCTAGTATCTAAACTATGCATCAGTTACCACGGAATAATCGAGTGACCAGTACCCATAATATATTTTATTATTTGTACAAAATCGCATTATATTTATTATTTGTACATAACCTCATCGCTAACAAATTTCGACTTCGAAGTTCACACGTTTTCCATTAGTGAAATGAGAAATTGCAAACTTAATTAAAAAATGTTAGTAAATTTACATTTTACTTTATAGTAAATATGATAGCATGCTTATTGTAGTTATGTCATAACTCGTTATTTTATAATTTTTTAAATATATCAATTGATAATATTTGCTCTCGACTTTATTTTGACGTTACATTCTTGGACACATCATTAATTCAATAGGTAAGTGTATTAAAGTTTAATAGATAATTTAATACAATACGAATTCAATTAGCTTTTTTATTTTAGGTTGAATGCTTTTTTACTGAAAATATTTCATCTTTTAAAAACCAATGTTATCATGTAAAATTGGTTTTGAGTATGACATATCAATTGCTATGGAAATGTCTTTCCAATCGGACCCAAGACCTTACAATTATATATCAAGGTGTAAATTATAAGTATAAAACATTTATTTCTAATATGACATTTTTTCATGTGAATGTATAATATCAACACTAAGCAATTTGAATGAAAAGTGTGTTGTGTTAACTTAAAATAATTATTAATGCATGTATTTGTGTACGTGGGTTGATAATACTCATATACCAGTTTCATTTATTTTTAAAAATATCAGTAATTAATGTATGAATTTCATACTACTACATACAAGGAATCGCTTCTTGATTATACCAATATTTATAATAATATGTAAGTATATTATTTTTATTTGATTAAACTTATCTAAGGTAGTTCAAATGTCTGCTTTCAGTTTAGTTATTTCTTACAATGATATAACCCATATATTGTGTGTCTGACATACATTACGGATATTTTATCATAAAGTTTTAGCTATAACTGACACAGGTATTTGGCTATCAAAGTTAAATTTTATATCAAATTTATTAATATACAATAATTCTCTCTTTAAAAAAAGTAATAATTCTATTAATTTGTATTTAATGAATTCAGTAAATCAAGTAAATTATTTTTTTGAACTTGCCTAAGATAATTCTTATAGTTAATTTTATTTATTGAATTTTGATTTTGTTAGATTTGTTTAATTACCAACGATTGTTAAAAGAAAAAAATTTAAATCAGTATTGTAGAAGTTGAACAATTTCAAATGTATAGATATTGTTTTTGTTTAATATTTTTGATTGAATATTTTCAAAATAGTAACATTTGTAATTTTTAAATTTATTGTTGTATTAATAATTAGTTTATGAATATTTTATTAGTTAAATACTTATATTATCAGACAAAAGATTATTATTGTTCTTTAAATGTTATACTATACTATATATTTGTCGTTGAAATTTATCAACACAATTGTTTGACTATGTGTTATCAATGTTCAAATTTTGTAAACTACACAGTAAAAATTAGTAAAAATTGTTTTTAACTCTTTAAAATAGGAAAATTGTCGCATACGCATTACAGCAAATATTCTTTTAACCATTATTTGCATCATTAAAGGTAAACAAATTTTATTTTTAACAACTATGCATTATAAGTTAGTATAATTGATTTTATAATTATTTGTATTCATACATAAATATAGTATACATGTATGTATGTGTATAAAATCAGACAAACTTGTCGCGTACAAATTCCATAAAATTTGAATCCTTAAAAATGTGTTATATTACAGAATAATTGTTAAATTTAGATACTACAATTTAGCTAAGGCTATTTTTGATTTAATATTGCCACTTTTACATAATCTTAGTAAAACGTACCCGTTATAATAGTTTAATAATGTCAATACTTTAATTTGTATAGTAAACAAGGAAATATCAAATAATGGTTATCTTTTTAAACAACTAAAATCTATTAAGCTTTTAATTTTCTAGATACTAAATAGTGAAGAAAATAATAAAATACTGATTATACATAAAATCAAAATAAGCAGATTCAACTGTAAAAGGATTAACTTTTCAATTTGAAATTTTTGAAACAGACATATTTTATTATAAAGGCTTTAGAATCACTATTATTATAACATTATACACCTTATAAGTTATAATAATAATTAGTAAGTACTAATAAAAAGATAAGAACATATAAACTATTTAATTTAATAGTTATTAACAAAATAAAAGAGACAAGTTCTGATAATTTAATGTTTGCGTGACACAAACCCTAACTTTATTTCTGAAGTTTGAGTATCACTGTGTGATTTTGTGTAATTGAGTCACAAACTATTGATCCATATTTTTATTAACGGATCTTAATAAGAAATAACTTGACTTAAAAAAAAATAAAATATCAATGATGTTGAAAAATTTACCGTTATAGAAAAATCAAATCTTTTTTGCCAACAGGATGGGGAAAACAGAAAAAAAAGTAAAAGTACTTTGAATCACAGTTTGGAACTACCGGCTTAAATTAAGTTGATAATTAATACAATTTTAAACTTAACTGTGATTTTGTAGTAGGTTCCTAAAACACTGTTTACAAACATCTAGTCTTTAGACAACTTAATCAATTAAACACAGTCCACTTTATTGCATTATTTTTTATTAATAAAGTTGTTTATATAATAAAAAAAAGTTAGTTATAAATGTAAAATAAGCAACATTTTTAATATTTACTGTAGAATTAAAATAGTAAGCAAATTAAATCCAAAATTGCTTATTTAGTGTAAATTGTTTAAAACAATTATTTGAGCACAGAATATATTTTGAATAAATTGAACATAACTAAACAAATAATAGTAACTCTTCGCGACGCGTGTCCATTCAATGTATGCACTTATGAGATTGTAAGCCAAATTTTAAAGCTATTGTTTACTACCTATAAAAACTAAAAATTATAATTTTCAAATAGCATAATAATGATCTGTTGTACTGTGCTGTTACTTGTTGAATGTAGAACATAGATAGTAGAAAAATATGATAACTAATGATAATAATATTTTGTATTATCATCATAGCAGCAGTTATCAACCTACTTGTACCACGGTTTTTGATTGTTGTGGTTAAATAGCCATTCGTTAGCTGCTGTCAATATAGTTCTGTCAACCTACCTATCATGACGGTGTGTTAGAAAAGTCGGTAATCTATAAATATGAAACGCTGGTCAAACAAAATATCACAAAACATTTTATTGTGTTTGGTTATCTGTGTACTCGTCTATCGGACAATGCGATCATAAATAAGTATTTTATTGGCTCCCGGTCTTTGGAAAACCAAAGAAATATAACAATATTTAAGAGAAAATGTAATATCTTTACAAAGTCATAGCTAACGACTAGATGGGTAAAAATTAATAATTCAAACGATAACATATTTTTAAATTTTTTGCCTACAAATTTATGGAATTAAAAACATATGTTGCCATTTGAAAACGTGAACTTAGACCCTTTTTATCGTATAAGGGATGAAAATAAAAATTTTCGAAGCATTGAAAAATGTAGTAATACTTATACCTAAAAGAATAGGAAAAAATGTTTTTTCAAAATATTCATATTTTCCAAGAAAATGAGTGTCTTACGTTAGTTGGATCACCCTGTATATACATTTTTTTTATTCCTCAGTTTATTACACCTTCAGTTTTCAATATTATAAATTACTGGACTAAAGCTAAATTTGATCGCAGAAATTGCCTTACCTATCAACTTGTCCCAGCCTAGCGCAACTTCAGGGTAACTGCACCATAGAGCAATGTTACTCTATGGCTGGAATTTACAAAAATGCTTAAGCTAATACGTTTCGAGAATCTTGAATAGGTTGTAAATTATTATTTTGCTAACTAAAACTAATAGGTATTAGGTTAATTATTCTAGAAAAAGAAGAGGATGTATGCTGGGAAACGGGATGCCAACTTGATAGTTGGACAATTAAAGGCTGTGAAGAGTATCATATGGTCACGGTTAGGTCTAGACCATGCGATAACGGTCACCATTATTATTGTTGTTATGCAAATGCAACTGCAAAAACAACGACTTTGCCGACTGTCGAAACAAAGATCTCACAACACGAGTGTGGATTTAACAACGGCACTCAACTTAAGATTTATGGCGGGGATAATGCTCAATTGGGTAAGATAATAATAATATCAGATTTTTAAATTTCTTACTTGGTGTTGTTAAAATCTTTTATATATGAAATGTAATAACTTGTTTTCTTGGGCTTTTTCTGTTTATTAATAATATTTAAAAATACGGTATCCATTTGTTGTTGTACGATCAAATATTGCATTATCATCATTTTCGAAGTTTTATTACCATTCAACTGGATATCTGTTTTTAATATGCATCTGCAAATCGGCCAATAGTATAACAGTGGCATATTTAAATTTAATTAAAGTACAAATTGTATTCAACAATATCTCTACAAAGTTTTAATGTTAGATTTATTTGGATTGTATATAGGCGATTGGCCTTGGATGGTAGTACTAGGAGTCCGAGAAGTCGAAGCGAAATATCGTATTACCAAATGGCCGTGTGCTGGGACATTAATTTCAGATAAACATATTTTATCAGCCGCTCATTGTTTTTCACATAAGAATAAACAACAAATGTTAGCATAATATGTTTTAAGTATAATTATATTTAAACTTACTTGACTATATTATTTACAATTATCATATTATTTTTTTATTTTAGAAATATAGCGCGATTAGGTGAATTTAATCTGGATCCCAATGTCGATGATGTAGTACAACCTATAGATATTGGAATCGAGAAGATAATAGTTCACGAATCGTATGATGGCAAGAGATCCATTAACGATATTGCTCTTGTAGAATTGGAAAGTCTTGTTAAATTTAATGGTAATTTGATACATGTAGCTTTATAACTTAACCCTTTTGGCTTTTTCGAATATAATACAATTATTACAGTTAACAATATAATATTAATGGTAATGGATTGTGGAAAGTGACAAATTGTACACAAAATATAACTAATGTTATATTTTAAGTTTTGTTATAGACAGTTATTGTTTTACTTTCTATAAGTTTTCTAATAAATCTAACTAGTTTTTTAAAAAATAAATAAAAAATCGTTCTTTTAGCTCCCACAGAGAAAATTGTATAATTTCAAGTATAGTCTTTTTTTATTGGTGAACATCTGAGTTTTTAAATGGTTATTTAAGTTAGTAATCTATTACGGCAAATCCTCACAAAACACAGTATAAGCTATAATAACAATATCTAACCTTGCCCTATTTTGTTGTATGTTATAACTACGCTGATTAATGCTATTACATTATTGTAATTTAATTAAAAATAAACTACTGTTTAATTTTAGTAAAGTTTTCACCAGGTTCAAGTACTAATTAATTTATATGTTGTAGATTATATTCAACCCATTTGTTTACCCGATGGAACACCTAAAATAACTAATTCAACGTTGACTGTTGCTGGCTGGGGCACCACGGCAGATGGTATAAAACAAATTTTATAAAAAAATTTTGCATTTTCAAACATTGAAATAATAATTAAATTCAAAATATTTTACAATTTTATTATTTTTAAAATTATAACTCTGCAAACCAAAAAAATCCTAAATTAACATATTATGATTACTCTTTATTAAGTTATGTAACTACTTTTCATGTGAATTGGCTTGACGAAATATAAAAATAGTTTTTGCTTTTTTTTCTTATTTGTAAAACTTCTATAATTTTCACATTGTCAAAAAGTAATAACACATGAATGATGCTAAAAGTTTACATTTGCTTATTTCGAATAAACGAAATAAGTGAAGGAAGAAATTTAACTGAAAAATGACAATGGCTATTTGTGATAATACTATTAAATTAATTATGAAAACTCAAAGTTGACCAGAAATTTTAAGGTCTTAACTATTGATGTATATTATTATAGTAGTACACAATTTATTGCAGATGCAGAAAACACTGTTCTGAAACAAGTATCCGTTCCAGTAGTAAAAAACAAAGTATGTAAACGATTGTACCCTAGTTTAACAATCGATCAGCGTGTAATATGTGCTGGTGATTTAAAAGGAGGAAGAGATTCATGTCAGGTATAAAAAACAAAACTTTACTTACATAATATATATTGAGTTTAGTGTAATTTCCATGTGTTTTTATATTTTAATGATTTATGATTTAGGGCGATTCAGGCGGACCGTTGATGTTAAAGATGCAGAATAGACATTATTTAGTCGGTATCGTATCTTATGGCATGTTATGTGCTGAGCCTAACCAGCCTGGAATTTATACAAGGGTTATACATTATAAGAAATGGATTATTAGAAAAATGAAGAAAGGCTAGATATAATAGGATTTAGGACTTGTAAAGAATCATCACTCATCAGACTATTAATAACAATTATTGATGATGATATTTTAATAAAATATAATATTGCTAAATATTTTATTTCGAATGCTTAAAGTATTTTTATTTGTCAGTATTTAATACAAAACAGGTTTATTCGATCAAATTGATGTGATTGTTTCAAATATTGCTAAAATGTATTTAACTTAATTGTATTGTTTTAATAATTTATTTCATTAACAATTATTGTATGGTGTGTTTAATAATATGTTTTATTAATGTAAAGTTGTAAGTTATATTAAATATAAGTAAATAAACATTATTATTTTAATCTAAAATACAATAGTTTTTATCATATGCACTCACATAAATTATAATACTTCCGAGCTCGTTACTGTTTATTCAACCTAATTTGTGGACATGGCAATTTTTTTTCTCGACCACACATCCCATTCATATTTTAATTTTTTTTGTAATTAGCTTTTAGCTTTGGCGTAAAGGTGATCCCTGGAAAGATTATATATTATCTTTAATTATGTAATAGAACGAAGACACAACTCTATTGGCTTTTAAGTATTTTTGTTAAACTGTTTTATTTTCAAAAATACTAGTTAAAAAAAGTTTCAATAAGTCTTATATTTAGTTTTAAAGTTAAATGTTGATATTTCAATATTTTTTTAACTTTAAAGACTATACAGTATACAAACATGCGACATAATCGAAAAACATTTTTTTTTTTCAGGGAAACATACTTGAAATATGTAGAGAAAAAATTAAATCCAAATTGGCTTATGGTGACCAAAAAAATGGAGTGCAATCCTCTTGACACCTCCGGTAATATTTCATTAAAACCACCGGAAAAAAGTGATTGTATAAACACAAATACCTTGGGAATCGAATACCAAATTTTCTAAATAGATATCAAAAAGAAAGAAGGGACTTACTTCTTTTCATTGCAAAGTGTGTGTTTGTGATTGCAAGGATGGTATATCTAAAGTTATTAAACATAACGGTTTAAATAAGCATAGTGGATATTCAACTAACATGAAAATTGCTTATGTGCCATCTATGAATAAAAATAAAAAGGTTACAGAGAACAACAAAATAATCGAAATACGAAAAGCGTCTTTTGTCGCCGAACATAATATTCCTATTAATGCAGTTGATCATCTTGTTAATCTAATCTGCTTAATAAACTTAAAACCTGCACATTTAGCAAAATTAACTTGTGACAGAACAAAATGCACATCAATTATAACAAATGTTTTTGGAGCTTCTGGATTTTCTAATCAAATAGAGTACCCATTTTTAAAACAAATAAATTTTCAATTTTAGTTGACGACTCTGCTGATATTAGTGATGTGAAGAACTTAGCATTAGTAGTGCGTACGTGTCGAAACTATGAAGTTACTGATCAATTTCTCATTATGCTTCCAGTAGTAAATGCAACAACTTTTAACATGTATGAAGTAATAACATGATATTTTAATACTTAAGATATATACCTTATACAAATAATTTGATTGGATATACTGCCGATAGGGCAAATGTTATAATAGGCAACAAACATTCGTTACAAAAATTATTTACAACTGATATTCCTAATTTATTTGTCCTTAAACGTATTTGTCATTCTTTGGCCTTTTGTGCAGAGTAAGCCTGCAAAAAATTACCCGAGATTTTGAACTACTTTTATATTTATACTTATTTTAGTCATACATAAAAGACAACATGAGTTTAAAGATTATAAATTTGAATATTTTGCTACAATCAAACCTCATAAATTATTACAATTGAGTTGTACTAGATGGCTTTCATTATTATCTTTAGTAAAGCGTGTTTTAGAACAGTACTTACTTCTAACATCTTATTTTAAGAAGAAAGGTGATACTGAAAAGAAACAAATCGAATGATCTTACATACAGCTTATTGCTTAAGATACTTTTATTAATAAAATGTAGTTAGAGTTTTTAGGAATTATACTTCCTACATTAGTAGACTTAAATTAAGAGTTTCAATCAGAATCTCTTAAAATGTATTTATATTATATCCTCGATTGGCCTGTGCTTACAAGTCTATTTTACAATGCTACATTAATCCAGAAGTATTAAAAAAAATATTATGGAGCAAGTTCAATACCGCAATCCCATTAATTATTTAATACCTGATCAAATATATATTGGACCTAAATTAGCGATTTATAAGACACAACATATATTGAATAAAAATCAAAAAGAAGGATTTTTAAATAATTGCCTTAAATTTTATATTGTATGTGCTCACGAAATGTATAAGCGTTTTCTTTTTAACTCTAAAAAAATGATTGCACTAAAACACTTATTATTTTTTAAATCCTGTTAACATTTAATAAAGTTCCACCTTAGGCCATGTTTTTACAAATTTTCCCAATGTTATTTCTGTTATTCTTTGTTCTTATTTTTATACTGATATTCTTTGTTTTAATTTTTAATATTTAACTTTATATAAGCATAACAAGTACAACAAAAATATGTCCTAGCGCAAATGTTTTAAAAAAAAAATTATTTTATGATAAATTAATTTTAATATATTAATAATATATACTTTATTGTACTATTCGTTTTTGTTTATAAATAGTTAACTAGAGTTACGTTGTTATTAATTATTAACATTTGTAATTCACATCAAAATTATGTTTAGAAAAAAAAAATAAAATGATTTATTGATATTTTAAATCCAAGCTTCAGTTAACTCAATTATAATTTTTTCAGGAAACTGCATGTAGTAAGAAACGAATTGATGTATGATGTGTAGTACAAATAGAAGTACTAAGCTGTAAAAAAAACGCTGAAAAAATCGAAACTTTTGTCAATAAAAAATGTATCGGTGAATTTTGGCGATTTTTTATGAAATTATGTTGGCGATTTTGTCGAACTTTTTTTTATGAGAATTTTCAATTTTTTATCTGGCAACATGAGTCCGTCAACCCACGGTGGCGCGTTAATGGGTAACACGAGAAACCCCCATTCGACAAAAAACCGACTTTCAGTGACGCTAACTTTGACAATATGTGCATACAATACCCGTTTATTAATGGTGTTTGTTGTGCAACATATTCTAAGGAGTAAATATTAGGCCTACGTTTCAAAGAAACTAATAATCCTGCGAAGCTAATAACACCTACTATCCTCTTGAAGACTTTCTTTATTTTAATCTAAAGAAAAACCCAGTTTCAAATTTATTTATTTCGTTGGGACTGTAGAATATACTATTCCACACACATCGCTTGCCTAATTATTAAGGGTAAAAACTCATTAGAACTCTTCTAGGTGCACCTAAAACTACTATTGTAAAAGAAATTAATCCAGGTCATTATTATTGATAATTGGATACTCAAAATTGTCATTAGCCAAATATACAATTTTATTTGGAGTCGACAAAATTCATATAGCTTGTAGTACATATTGATAGCTTATCCATAGCTAAGTATTCTAGGAGTCTATTATGATTTATAATCAACAGAAATGGCAACAAAATAACTTAATGCAATATAAAATTAATTGGACTAGACGATGGTATATAAAAGCAAAAATAAACAATGCAAAAAATAAAATTAACTCATAAGGTAATAGTTAACACGGTTGAAACCTATAGTTCAACTCAACAGAAAAAAAAATTTACATTAGTTAAAATTGCACATCGATAATTTGTAATACAAGTAATTAGGTAGACAAATAATATTTTAATACTTAAAAAAAAAGAAGGAAATAATCATTTGTTCTAAATACGTTTATCTAAACCTAACTATATGTAATTAGTTTATAAATAACAAACCGCAAACTACAATATTATTAGTAATGAAATCATTTTTAACGATTTATTATGCTTATATAAACAAAATAATTAATCGCTATGCCACAATGTCTCGTCATCACTAGTTTCAAGTTCCATTTCCTCTTGTTCGTCGTCGTCATCTATAATTATCTGTTCTGAGTCCCTGAAACAAAAATTAGTCATTTCAGACGTACCTTGACATTTATTTTTATTTTTATTGGATTTACTTAAATTCCATTTTGAGTTTTTCATATTCTTGTGTCATTGCACTTTTGTACTCAGGTTCTAACAAATACATTGCCGCATGATTAAGTTCCTCCACCTTGCATGGTACGCCATACATATACTCAAAACGCATAGCTCCCGACCAAATCTCTAAAATAGTTAAATAAACCGTTAGAATAATTACTATAAGGTAATATATGAATATATAAAGTACATATCAATTTGAATTAATACGAACAATTTTTAAAAAATTATAATGTCATTAAACATAAAAAGAAGGAGCTAAACTATTGTTTGGTCATAAGTATATCATTATATAGGTTATACATATATATTCTCGACGTGATATAGAAGAGAGTCCATAAACATGATCGGAAAATAAGTTTGTAATAAAAATCGTAAAATCGCTTTAATTGCTCCATCAACATTAGTTATTAAAATACTTTTTTTTTTATACTTTGTTCTCGTTTTTCATAGTGTGAAGTAAGAACGATAATAATTGTAACTTAGATGAATGATTGTTCCACGACCCTGTGTTAGATTGTTTTTTTTGCCTCCTCCCTCCTATTAAATAACAATCTCAAATTGCGCCTATGCAAGAATGTTTCTTTACAAAATGAAATTTAAAGGAATTGTCAATATTGTTAATATTATGACAATTGGGATTATTATGAAAAAACGAAAAACATAACGACCAAACTACAACGTTATTACTTATTACGTATGAGTTATTAGAGAGAGAGACAGAAAGAGAAATTATATTACTTCAATAAACACATTTCCGTCTTACAAGAGATTAAAGCTTTGCTTATTTAAAAAAATAAAATGTACATGTTTTTTGTACCTGATAATAATAAAAAAATTATTGTATAAAATGTATCTTGACATATATATATTGTATCTGGACCCATAATAAAACACAAATGGTTTTATAAAAATATTACATATGAGTTGATTTTATAATTTATTTTGATAACATTTATTTCAGAATGTATTTTAATATTATTAATAATTAACAATGTATATTTTTAAATCAATGATATTACCGATTTTTAAAAATATATATTAATAACTCACTTATATCGTCTTTTGCGAAGTATCTACACAAAACGCCTTGCACTTTCCGTATTCTTTTGACATTTTTAACTTCATTTTCTAATTCTAAGCGTAGCATGGTCTTATGTATTTGTTTAATGTACGGCTTCTGCCTTATAAGACGTTTATCATATAGAACCCTTGCTTTATTCAGGCCCTTATAATTTGCCCGCCATATTAGATACGCTGGTCTCAGCTTTGTGGCTATCATTTCATACTTAACACGTATACCTTGAATGAACAACTGTTCAACCTAATCACAATTTTTTAAACGTAAATTATTAATATAACAAATATATACTTGTCTAATTACTTGTCATAATATGTTATGTATGTTATAATAATAATATGTTATGTTATGTACTTGTTTTATATTAAACAATTATTTATAACGCCGTGTATATTTACCAAATCTGGGCAAGTGTTTTTCAAATAACTAAGCATAAGAACCCACAAGGGCAGAGAGTGTTCTTTTAACGTTCTAAGTCCTTCCCGAAATACTTCCATTACATCGTCACAATTTTTTTCGACATTAAACATTTTCATGGCGTATTTATAAACTTCACCACTATTCCTACACAGAGTAAATACTTATTTAAATACTATTAATACTATCAACCTTATTTCCTTATATTATAATATAGTATATATGAGAGGTATAACACATTGACACAGGTAAATCAGACATTTTTTTTACATCACTAATAATTGTCCACCTATAACTAATAGTTGTAATGTGGTATAGGAATGTCTATGCTTTAACGACAAATGGTAAATATCATTGTGAAATTTAAACACTTATGATTGTAGAAACTAAAAAGATGCGCGATGGAGTAACACCCGGGTTTTATTCCCATTACTCAGACCACTAATAAAATTAAAAAAGGGAATTGTATAGTTAAATATTAGAGATAATATTGTAGAATTAATGTGAAAGAAAGTAATTACACTTACATCATATAGTATAAGGAATCTATACCTATAAAATATGTGTTTAGTAATTAAATATTGTATCTTGAAGGGATTGGATAGTTGAACAAATGTAGTATCATCAGTTAAAAGGTAAATATTCGCAGTGCTATAAAAAAACTTTTGGTTAACTATTATCAAACGAGGCTTAGACACAGAGAAGTAGCATGATATAATCAATTTTAGCAAGTTAACTTGAATATCATAAGACATACGTTATAAAAAAATAATTTCTATGTTAACGAATTCTTTCTAAAATTGTGTGTTTAAACTGCATTGTTTGATTAACATTATTTAAAGCTGACACTGGCTATACCACTACTGCGACTATAGTCTATACTGAATGATTCGCTTAGATCCTACTGCGATTTATGTGTCTTTGGGCTGCGTTTTTTCGACCGAGTGGTATCCTACATATCCTGAAGTGTCATAACATCAAATTTGTCGTGATGTAGTATTATCATTAAGTAAATGTTTAAAAAAGCATTAACAATTGAAAAATGTCCACAAAGTTTTCATAGAGATGGTTGGAAAATTTGAAATACGTGGAAGTCGAATATTCATCAGAATAATAAACCTTTCTACTTACAAAATATAATGTATTTAAAAAAGATAAGTTAAGTGTGGTTTAGTCACATTGTTTATAATAAAAATTAGAAAGAAATTACCATCATAGGATAACCTAACCTATCAAATAATTTACTATTATTTGTTTAAAAATTAAAAAAACATTCCTCTAGTGGGCACTAACTGAATATTAGGGCTAAAGCAATTTTTTTTAAATTTATAGTATTAAAAAGTACATTTATATTCGAATTATTCAAAAATAGTACAATGTGAGTCATTTAATTTTGGAAAAAATATTTTTAAAATTTAAGTTGTTATAAAATATCAACTTTCCCATTAATTTTCCAGTTTCATTTAAAAAATTATAATAAATGGAATATGAACTATTGTTTACTCTCCAATGGAACATAATTATGTACTGTGAAGTTTGTTTATATGAATTGCAGCAGCTATAGCTTCATTTTGTTTGATATTATGACTCAAGTTGAGTCAAATTGAGTATATATATTGCCCATATACCTATTGGATTGGCAGTTTTTTAGTGAGTAAGTTTATGCTTTATTTGTATAGTAATATTATTTATTTATTTTTAATTTGAGGTAACTTAAGTTGAAAGATCACTGTTGTAGAATCTAAAATGGTAATACGTTATTAGAAGCTATTTATGATCATTTAACTTTTGAATAATTCCACAGTCCCCTGGCACCAGTCTATTGTTACAATTTTTGGTATTTATTGTGTAACAATTGGGAATTTTGTAGTACATTGATTACTTCAGGTGACATTAGGCACCGGCAATTATTAAGCTGCTTGAACCCAGACTGGTGTTTTTAGTGGTGGTTCATACCCTATACATCATGCCCATTCATTACGTGTTCAAACCCCCACAATCAAAAATCAAACGCATAATAAACAAAATAAAAACTACACAGAATAAATAAGAATGTGAGTTTTAAGATAGTGGAGTAGATACACACTTAGTGAGTCAATAATGTATACCTTGCTCTTACCTTGCTGGTATGAGGTAAGAGGAAAAAAAATGATCAGCATATTTTTTTTAATAAGACACTTACGGTATTGCCAAGAAGTCAGCAGAAAACGACAAACGTCGAGTATCGTGATTGTAAGTGTAACCTTGAGATCGCAGTTCGTACAATTTTTCCCAAAGTGATTTACCATATCCGTAGAAGTTTACCATATCACTGCACAATAAACATTGAAATATATTTTAAGGTTTTAATTGTTAAACACTAGCAATCGAGTTAAACTTGATTATTATTATTCATACTTGACAATCCGGGAATTTAAATCGTCACTTTTTAGTGGGAGCGTTAGCTTCAAAATTTCCATGTGGACATTTATATTACCAACGAATCGTTTAATTGCCGCCTTGTACTTCTCAAAACACCTTTCATAATCTATTTCCCCTTCCTTATTTATCGCATATATTTCCAGACTGTAGTCGCTATAGGTCAATTCAACACTCTGGCTATGTTCCCTAATGCCTAGTTCGTAGTAATGTCGAGCCCTTTCAATAGACTCACATGTGTTAAGTTCAAAATTCGCAGCGGTTATGTATAGTTGAACGTCTTGCCGACGCGCCATGATTGTTATTAATCCGCTTCTGCATTCATCTTTTAAATTCTAAAAAAAATATTAAAACATTTTTAAAATTATTTTATTTTAGAAATTTTACCACCCACTCGAGTTTTAAGAGCCCATGAGACTCTGTATTTCATTAATTAAAGCAATTTCAATTAAATAAATACATTTAAGCTATAACGCGGCTGGACAACGTATATCCACTTAAAAAAATGCCTTATTGTGGTGAAGGTCAAGGAAGAATTTGTTTACGAGCTTTGAATCGATTTAATGTAGTTCTTGACGTTAAACATTCTAAATAAATATAAAATATAGTTTATATTTATATAGGATATCAAAGGAAGGTCGAAGGTCAACCCGCCAAAACTCTTTTGGCTATGTCTGTCAAGTAGCATATTTACAATTTTCTTTTGGAAGTGATGTGCAATAAAAAACATTTTCCCCTAGCTCTCTTATGTCATTCTTGTCCTTAAAGCCAGACCAAAACTTATGAACCATGATTTTTTCTTTAAGCATAATAGTTTAATAACTGGTAACAGATCGTTATTTACATTTTTTTGTCGTTAGTTTTAATAGAAAAAATGCATTTTGTATCCATTTTTAAAAGTACGATTACCAAAAAAAAAAAACATTTTAATTTACGTTGCTATACTTTTATTAATAAAATAAAATACTTTATCTAATACTATAATGAAAAACCTTTTTTTTTTGTGTCATTTCATTCTAGACTTTTATTTTTACAAGAAAAGTTGTTTATTTACCAAATAGATTTTAATAAATAATAGTATACTTATAAAAATTTAGGCTCTGGGAGGTGATGTATCACCCTGATCAACCTCTGTAAATACGCCACTATGACAGACAGGCAGTCTGCGCCCCTGTACTTATTGAATATACCTTTGACCTATCCTGTCAATAAGTCTGCACGTGTCTATTACACAATTTGGCTTACATTATTTAAGCAAAATTTAATGTATTCCTTTAGATGTTCGTTAATAACAGGGTCCAAAGAAAATAGTTCGAGGAACTTTTGAAGTATCTCTTTGTACCCAGTATTGAGTGTTTCTTCTTTAGAAATACTGATGGCACTGATGTTATTATTGCCATCATTTTCATGGTTGTCATTATTTGTATTATTGTTCTCTTTATAGAATTCCTGTTAAAAAAACATTACAAATGTATAGCGGTAATATTTTAAATAATTGGAATATTTACTTGAAGTTTTTTTTTATATGATCCAACAAGAAATATTTCAGTACGTATTTGTGGCAATATTTGTTTGATGGCTGACCTAACGTAAGCTACCTTTTTAATAAATCTTTTACGTATTTTGTCAATCGATCTAATAGATCAAAGAAAAAAAAAATTAAAAACTAAACAACTATTTGAGACTTTAAATAACTTACTCTGGTTTCCCGTTACGTCTAAATTGTGACATCACAAATGGACTTTGAAGACTAAATTTGTCTCACCGTTAGACTTACTTATTTAGACAACTTTTTAATAATTATTTATCTTGAATTATTGTTTAGTAGACACAATTATACCTATTGCACGCTCCGGTTTCGATAATATCCTGGTAAGCTATAAAAAATAAATAATTCACTTAAGTATGAAGTATTTATTACCTATTTTTACTAGATAAAATTATTGAAATTAATTTTTTGAAATATCATAAGTTTAAGCCAAAATGTTTTAGTATATTAGGATTATTTATTGCTAGTTACTTTTTTATCAAAATGATTAATCTCAGCATTCAGTAACGACTTTTTATTATTATTTTTTTTTTACCAAAACATAGAGTACAATGTAAAACGTAAGTAAAATTTTATTAAAACACCTCCACGTACTTCCAATAGTTTAGAACATATAATAATTGATATAGACAAAATTTAAGGACAGCATAACATAGGAAAATATGTCTTAAAGATACTGATATAGCGAAGCATATTTTTAAATTTCATAAATACATTTATGTACATGAATAGCTTTATTACATTTAAGCGAGCTTTATAAGTTGCCAAAGGGCACAGCTTACAACTTAATCTATAATAGACAAAATATAACATATTTATACATAATAGAGATGATAATTATAAAAAAAAAAACAATTTTGTTAGTGTCAATTACAATAATAATAGTAGCTTTTACTAAGTATATAGGTCACCATTTATACATACATGTAACCAAAAATAAAAAATAATATAGTAATACTTAAACATTATAAAAAATAGTATAAATTGTACACAAAAAAATAGAACTTAATGACTAATAAATAATAAAGACAATATAAAATTATAATTCGTAAAAGCCAGTGCTTGTAATATATGATACAGCGGATCAAAGAATAAGGCTAGAAGAGTTGATAATATTGATGAACGAGAGGAGTAAATGTTATGTGGGAAAAGAAAATCGAAGAATCAAGTCCTATAAAACTCAAACAGTGGACAGCCAAAAATTATGTACTTAAAACGCCAACTGGCATTTCGTTATGTAATGGACAAAAAAGAACAGAGTTTAAAGAAAGTAGATTAGAGTGAGAGGTAAGAAAATTGAGTTTAAAACATAAACATGAAAAGAAAATAATTATCTATGCCATTCAGCAAAATGGGGAGAAAGGAGAGCCATTTAGACTGCTAGTCTCGCTCAACTGTTGTTTTATGATGAGACTTAAGGAAATAGAAGGATAACATTTTTCGGAGGGTTGAACGTTTCAGTTTTCAAAGTTTGGATGTCGCAAGCGAGTCGGCAATTTCATTTCCGACGATACCCACATGGCCTGGAACCCAATGAAATTGGATAGTTTTACCTTGGGAAAAAATCAGGAAAATTAAAGATCTGATATTAAAGATAAGAGGAGCAGTGTGCGACCTGAATGGATCAGAGGAAATGGCTAGAAGACAATCTTGGGAATCAGAACAAATTAAGTAGTTATTAATAGGAGCTGTGGTAATAAAGCGAAGAGCATGTATTATAGCAAAGCACTCGGCAGCAAAAGGAGAGATAACAGGAGGAAGGTTAGTTGCAAATAAAATGTTGAATTTAGGAATGAAAAATGAACAACCCGCAGAATTAGCTGAAACTGAACCATCAGTGAATATTAAAATGGAGTTCGGAAAGCTAAAGGACATGTATGAGGAGAAAAGATTATTAACATAAAAGGCAGGCAAGGAATGGAGAAAACTAAGAGGGTAACCAAGAAAAAGGGGTAAGATATGAACAAGAGAGTTTAAATGGAAAGCAGGAAAGGGACAATTAAATATGGGAAGTCGAGTGTAAAAATTGTAAATAATGGGAATGAAATTCATTTAATTAAAAGGAAAATATAGACTCAGGTATAGCACTATATAAAAGTATATCTCTTCAACTTGACGTTAACATTTATTCTTAAGGAAATTTAGCTAAGTTTAACTATTGGAAATCCGGTGACATGTTTTTATTCGACTTTTTATCCTTTGTGGCTCTTATAGTTATTTGTATATTATACGTCCTACAATACTGTAAAGCTAGTATTAACGGTGCCGCGGGCAACCTCTATTATTAAGTAGGTGCAGCCGGAAGGAAATGATCTCAGTTGTCAGACGTCTCGAACTGCAGTGAATCGTCAACGTTTTGAACGCACCTGACACAGTCGTAAGTGTTTAATATAAATTACAATTTCTAACTGACAGGACATTACTAGCTATAAAATATAAATGGAAAGAACGTACCTGCTAAAGTTTTAGTTGAAAAAATCAACTTGTTGGAGTTTATTACAGCCACAAAAGTATGTCTGTTTTTGTCCGTAAACAGTAAACTGATCAATGAACAGTCGACCGAGTTTTCCAAAAGGCAATTCACTACTGGTTGGATCAATAATTTTTCCCGGGCCGAAGGCTAAGGAGACATTATCTCCCCAACGACATTTGGTCCACGAGGATACACCTACCCCATTTGCAGAATCACTGATAGTGCTTAACAACTCAAATGCAAACTTTTAAAATTATTTTTGGTGTGCGATTTCTGTACTCGAAAGCCCAAAATTAATTGAAAATCTTTAACATTAAGAACAACAATTTGTAAAAACTTATCTCTTACATTTAAAGCAACCGTAAATAAAATTGTTATCAATTTAAACCACCTTAATAAAGTTTATATAATATCAATAGATAATATGAAACAATCAAGATTGAACTAATATCATTTTTAGGGCTCTTCCTATGTTTGATTGTTTTTAAACATTTAAAAACATGATACAAACATAGCTGAAATAAATAATCGATATACAGTATTCGCCTGCAGCTACCTGCTAAAGGCAAATCGATGATAAATTATATTAATTTTTAATCAGCATAACGAACTTTAGTTACATGAATTATAAAAAAACAATTTTTTTTTCTAAAAATTATTTTGTGATAATATTATATATAAATTAAATTAATATCTATTTATTTTTTTGATAAAATTATAGCATCTAAGTGGAATTGTTTTTATGCAATGTATGGACCTATTTATTTATAAGTATAAGCGACAAATTGTAAAACTCGTTTTAGTTTTATGTTGGAACAAAAGAAATGTTTACAAATACAGATAAAATAATACAAAAAGTGTAAATGATGATCGTAGTAATGATCAACATAATCGTGTAGACAAGTTTTAAGTCTTAAAAATAATACTTGTCCCTACTTAAAGTTGCAATAAAAAACTTATCTGGATATGGTAAATTACATTTACAATTAATAATCACATTTAAAATTCATTTTTTTTTAATTATATGAAAATGTATTTGATTATTCAGAAAATGAGATTAATCATTTACTAGGATTAATAAAAAATGTAACTTAATAGTTATGTTAATTTTGACAATAACCCTTGTTAATAAGGTGTAAAGGCTTTAATGAAGATTTCTAACGGAAGAAAGACATAGCGATGGTGTTTTGTAAAAAGGGCGTATACCATATAAAAATTGAAATTGTTCAGTGGAAACAAAATTGTGTTTTTAAAAGATGATGCCGTTTAAAACGGTCAATCTCGGATGTACCTTCATATAGTAGACATGCTGATAATATGATAAAACTTATCGTTATAATTTTTGAACATGTGTAAATTATATTTAGTATTATTTAACTCATTTTTCGATATTTTGTCGTATACTCCCTTTTTACAAAATACAATCGATATCTTAAGCCGATAATCTTTGTTTTTATATTTAATCTACTAAACATTATTACTAGATTGGGACGGATTATATTAGTATATTGTCAGGGAAAAATTAATTTTGTAATCTACTTTATAGAAATAATATAATATTATAATAATATTACTATTATAACCAAAACCTATCCATACGACCATAATGATTATTACTACGATCATCAATATCACTTTTATTGATTATTTTATCTGTATCTGTATACATTTCTTTTGTTTCTACGTAAACCAAAAAAGTTTGACAATTATTTGCCGCTTGTACTCATAAGAAAATGACAGTACATTGGTGTCGGGACATGATGTTGGGGACGGAGAATATTGGGGCGAATGCTTATTTTACAGTAGTTGTAACATCCGACAATTTTATTCAAAACGAAAAAGAGGACCCCTATATTTCGTCCTTTGTTGAGATTCATGAATGTACATGCATGAACCCCGTTAGGGGATTTTGCAACACAATGACCGTCACCGCACAAAACTGGTCTTTTCAACCCTATAATATCCACACCCCACAAATAATGCGTTATTAGGATTTATTTTTATTTTGTTGCAGCCGTTTAGATTGTTAGCTTGCAATCTCTCCCGTACAGTACAGTACCATAGCAGCTGTGCTCGCATAGTAAATTAACTATCAAAATTATAAGTGAATAAACTGTATAAAACGTCAAGAGGAAATAAACATTTTTTATTCTTTTATTTAATTGTAGTTTCATTAGAATGCAAATATAAGTAAAAACTAAACAACGACATATTTGGTGACTTCGAGTCTTGTTAATAGTCATCTTCTTTCAACGGTCTTAGTTAAGCAAGTTGAGACCGGCCGGCATTGTTTTCAATTAAGAGTTCATTTTTTACATGATTTTAAGTCTCAAACAATTATTTTATAAGCTCTTAGTCCTCCACTGTATGCACGTTTTGGTGATTTTTCTTACTTATTTTTTCCCTCGTATGTATTCTAAAATAACA